CGCATCATCATATGTTTCTTAAGACCGATAATCTCGCCGCCCTCCGTGGAGTCAACTTTTGGATAATCACTAGTGAATCGGTGGAGGTCTGTGGGGCAATTTAAAAGGCCTGTTAATCCACCAATTTTGTTTCTTTGCTGCAGAGCGCGAAATTTAGAGAAGCAACTGTTTGGAGGGAGCGAATATAACATTGATAGCAATTAGTGCAATAGACCAATAAGTTAAATTAGAATGCCCTTAAATGGTGAGAAGAAAACTGTATTTTCAAGTATTCTTGGGAAGACGTGCCTGCTTATGAACCTAAGGGATGATTGAACGTAGCCAAAAACATTTTTACAGGGAAATGTTTACGCTTGTTTTTGGAGAGTAAGGTGATTTTCATATGCAAAGGACATCATAAAAACGACAGACAAAAACTCAAAACAACAAGTGGGTAAAAAAAGAGCTTAAGCAATAGAACTGAAAGCAACTAAACATGATCATACTAAGGAAGAGGTCTAAGAAGAAATAAAGTTGTTCCTTGTATACATACTCTTTTTACAAATTATAGGTCGTATGAGTTGAACAAAACAATATTGTGTTAATGTTCTACTTTAAAAGGTAATACTGTGTATAATTATTGCTAGTTTTTTAAGTCTTCAGTTGTTAGGGGTTAAAAAAGAATACTTTTGTTTGCAAATTTGTGGTTCCCTAGTAATTTGAGAAATTCAAACTTTTTTTGCTAATGAACTAATCGATCGCCAATCGATAATAAATCTAAGTCGAAACTTTCAGAATGGGGATTTTTTTGGGGGGTCCAGTTGATTAATCAAGTCCTGCAATTAAGCTGTAAGGTTTCATTAATTTAAGAGCTTTCAGAGGTTTTTAAAAGGATTAAAGGAATGTTAAGGAGAGGGGTGGCTGTTATTCACAAAGTAACATGAAGAGAGATATCAAAGATATCTTTACCCTAGAAGGATAGCTTTACCCTACATTTTGCCAGTCAAAATACACAAATTTAAACCAATGTTAACTAAAAAAAGTAGACTGTTATTTCTTTTCATTGTCTTTAGTCTTTCGCTTCTTAAGTTTTGAATCATTTATTTCATACCATGATTTTTTCTTTTTTAATCCATGGTATTTCCCGCTAGTATTTCCTGTAACTGTTGAAACAGCCATACCAACACGGATATTATTTGCATTGTATCCAAATTGCTGCATATTTGGGTTTTCACTACTTCTCCCAATGGCTCTTTGACAGGAAAAATACTCTTCACAATCATCTTGGCTAAATCTCTCCATTAAAACATAAGGCATGCCACTTCTCAAAAGCTGCTGCACACATTCTACAGCAGAATAGACAGTTATTTGAAGTCCCTCATAGGTCTGCTTTGAAATAAACATCTTTTCTTTGGCAGCATCAGAAATTTCACCTTGGCGAGTTGAAATGGTCTGTTTCCATTGCTTAAGGTAGCCTAGGAATTCTTCTTTGAGCCATTTGAAACGTTCATCATCGATCGAAACATAGGGTTTTAGAAAGTTTTTTCTCTTTCTTTCATGCTCATGACAACTTCTTACATTTAGACAATCAAAAAATTTATCAATGTTGTCACAAAAGTCAGCTGTTGCACTTGTATCTGCAGAGTAAAATGATCTTAATACGGCAGCTACACTTGAACTCAGCACCTGAGCTGCTAAACGCACCTTCATCTTCGAATAACTGTTCAACTTGATGTGATCAGTGGTTAGCCTTGGTAGAAGCTTCAGGCCTCGATCTAGGTCAGCTTGAAATGCACCAGTGATGTGCCTCCAAATTAGGTATTTGCCATTGTTCCACATGTAGCGACTACTTTGACCTGAACCAGAGTTAAACAAGCAGTTTCGAGCTGTTTTGACCAAGTGGCATGGATCACTGAAGAAAAAGATGAATCTTCTGCGATCAAAAACGTTTACAGTACGATAAACCACTTCACTATCTGTGCAGTAATCAAGGCCTTTGTGTAACTTGAAGAACTTACGATTGGGTGTTGCTCCATCACATATTGTGGCAATGACACATAATTTGACGTTTAACTCTAAAATGGCAATGCATCTCCAAAACAGAGGAAGAATTTGGCTACTTGTGATACCATCTGTTGCAAAATAGGCTAATGGGAACTTCAAGTCAGATGAAATTCCTCTGACAAAAAATAAAAGTGCATGCGTTGCAAGGGTCTTCTCTTTCTGGAGGCATGCTTCATTTATTTCACCATCTCCTAAGTCTGTGAAGCCAATTAGTTCACCTGTATATTTATCAAATACCAAGCCTTCCGATATCTTCATTTCATCAAATGAAACACAAACAAATTTCTGGTGACCTTTAAAGCTTTCAACAGCCTCCCTAAGTTCATTGATGACACCTGAATTGAATCCAACCTGAGGTCGAATAGCATTACGATAGTCTCTTAAAGTTCTTCGACTTGGTAGACAGAGAATCCCTGAATTTCTCAGCTCATCATAAGCGGAACCTGATTTTGCAGCAACTGATAGACAAAATCGAATAATCATTGGATGAAACCGTCTAGACCCTTGCTTAAAATACTTGACTTGTTCCTGCCAAAATAATGTCATAAAGGGTGAGGCACTCTCAAGATTTTCTGACATTATCTTATTGATATCGGTGGTCAACTCATCATCTAGCTGAACAGATGATGACTGAATTTCTTTATCCATCTCTCTCAATTTTTCCTCCAAAAGTCCACATTTCATTCTTTCACTAAACACTGTGGCCTTTAGTCTTGAATGACTTGTTGCTGTTAAAGGTGCTCTACTCTTTACAGCTGTCTCTTGCAGTGATGTCTTTACCTTGTAAGCTTGTATGGCCCTTCCTTCAAATTTCTTGCAATCATTACAACTTTCACTTGTGCCTGGTTCCAGGAGGACATAGCAAGTAGGTGCCCTGTAGTACTGGGTATACTGAAAAGGAATATCATTAGTTACATCTAAGATTGATGGAACTACATGGAGAGAAGCACTTGTCTTTGCATCTGCATTTGTCACACCAGTGCATATCACAGCACCTGATATCTTTGAAAGAAGTTTTGACAACTTCAAATACTTCAATGATCTTTGTGCATCTTGATATATATGACTGCCTTCTGGTAATTTCCAATTGAAAACTGCAATTGTAAATCTCAAATTTTTCTCAATGATCAAGCAGTACTTTGGCAAGGCATTAGTTTGATCATTCAAATTAATTTGAATTGAATTGTCACCATATGTAACAGACCATCCTTCCAAATTGATTCTTTGAAGTGCATTCTGCAAGCTTGTGAAGTCCTTATAAGCACATTGAGAATCTTCAGTTATTCTTTCTTTTACAATATCTATGTGTCTCCGGGCAACAATCTCTCTAGAAGGATGACTCTTTATTGGTAAATTCCTTTTTGGTAGGGCTCCTGGACGTAGTACTTTCCTTCCTTGTTCTAGGAACAGACAAAAACACATCAATTTGACACAATATCCACATGCAGAGCTGCAGTGGTGAGAATTCAGATTTCATTTAGGGGACACAGACCTTTAATTTTCTGATAAGATATAAAATCTAAGGAATCCAATTACCCAAACTTCTTTGACAAGAAGGCAAATCCTTGGGGAAGGTCAAGCCATCACAAGCCTCTTGTGACATTTCACCTATATGCAATGTACATTGACTAGACTTATAAGCAGTTGGGTCTCTTGTCTTTTATTTTGAATCTATTTTTTGAAGAATGCGTTTACCATGAACTATTACAACATAGTCAAATATTATCATAAATACAGTCCGTGGAAGCTTTCAACCAACGAGTTTTTCTAATGCTATCGATGTATGCAAAGATTGAAATTTCTCGCTTTTATGATTTGTGAGTTCTAGTAAAAACCGGCATCAAAAGTTGAATTCAAACTGTCGTGATTTCCAAATATTTCTGATCTGGTTTTGCAATATGGTTTCGGATATCTTCCGTTTGGAAATACTAGAAATAAATTTTAGAATCATTCTTTTAGCCTTTTCTTGTACAATAATACAGATAAAACAAAGCTATAAAAACTATAAACTTACCTGTTATTTCAATGTCTTCAGGCTCATAATGATTTTCACAAACATATATTTGTCCTCTCTCGATTTGTTGGGAAAAATCAGCATCCACCTGCCGATACTTTGTGATTATGTTGAGGATATCTCTTTTCCAGTCTAAATAAAATTTACCAGAACGCGCGGTGATCTTGAAGATTGAAATATTATCGTACTTTCCAGATTTATTTGCCCGATTAGTATGACATCCGTTAAAAACACAGTTTACCATAATGATTTTGTTCTGTATCGGCCGTCCGCCATGCTAGAACAGTGCCTTGGATGTTGTTTGGTCATGTGATCAAAGAAATTCAGAACAATAACATATTGCGCAATCTTCCTTGTTTCCAAACCATTCCTTTTATCAACTATGGTGTAACCGAGAGCAAAATCGCGTGCGAGCGTTTCCCAGGATCTCTGGGAAAATTAATTGTGCAAAAAACTATGCGGCATTCACAAGACAAAAGTGAACAACAGCGTGGACAGAGCTCAATTTGCCGGGGCAGTTCACACATTCAAATAGCGAAAAGAAATATATGCAAATCATAGGGTGCAAATTCAAAGTTTCTTTTTATTTTGTCAGACAATGTCACAATGATGCCTGAAGCCTTGAATATATCATGACGCCTAGATAATTGTTGCCCGACGCGAGGATGGAAACACTTCAAAAACCCGAAAAGTACAAGGCACAGGCCTAGGCCTACTGCCTCACATTGCTAAAGAAATTAGTCTACTCAGTTGGGTAGCCCTGTCTGGATCAATGTTAAATGTTTCACGAGTCTTAAGCAATTTCCACTGTCTGTAGACTTGCGTTTGTAAGCAGAGATCATTTTCTACGGCTTGAAGGCAAAGCGTCTTGTTTACTTTTCGGTTTCCATTTCTTATCGCTACTCTGAAAGTCGTGTTTCCTTCATCGTATTCACCAGATCTTGTCCAAAAAATCCTTCTTTACATTACATTCAAGTCAAAATAGTAAATAATCATCTTCTACCATGCAAAACAAAATGTCTACTCAAGGCAATTTTACTTCGATTGCTGCCGTAGATTCACTCCCTATCAACCGCTGTAAGATTGGCATGACGTTTCCCAACGAAGATCTTCATCATCAAATAGCAGAGCAGCATTTTCAAAACTTTTCTTCTTTCAAATAAATCTATATATCATACCAACACGACCGATCAACAATTTCTTCTTGAAGCGATTCTTCTTGCATGATTACACAGATCTGTGATAATTATGCAAACAATTCAATTCAATCCTCGTACGCGATTATGCTCTCCATTACACAGACCCTCTACTTTCAAGTTAGGTGTTAGGGGTCTGGAGCACAAGCTACCCAGAGGGGGCTCAAAGGGCTTATTAATTTTTTCAGTCCTAGAGAGGGGCTCAAAAGAGAGGGGGCTTATTAGAGAAAGGGGGTTTATAAAAGATTTGAAGCAGAAAAAGTTTTAAAAACACCCTTTGCCATTTTTGTTATGAAAATGCCTTACAAATATTCTCAAAAAACTTCGCTAGCAGCTTCGAAAGTTTAATCAATCAATTATGAGGTCCTCATCTGAATCAACATCACCAGGATAAATTGATAACCCTTCGACATCTTCAAAACAAATTTCGACTGACTACTAAGTCGCACAAGTTAGTGTTTACATGGGCCGTATTTATGCACACGATCTTATCATCATCACACCGTCAAGAGACTCACTAAATGCGCATGATTTCTATTTTTGACATCAAAAGCTAAAATGGGGGACTTTATAGAGAGGGGGCTTATTTAAAGTCCTTGCTTGATAAGGGGAGACTTAATAGAGAAGGAATTTAATAGAGAGGGGGGCTAATAGAGCTTCTACCATGTATAAGGGTTTCGAATTGTAGCTCCTTTTATATCAATTTCTCTATAGTTTTGTTACGACACAGGGTTCCCTTACGGACAATATCACGTGACAATTGCATCATTGTGCTGTGATTGCATCAGCGTCTGTGAATGTTTTTTTGCATTACGTAATTATCATTTCAAGGTTCTGCTAGGGGTATATAAGTGATTGTTTCATAAATAAGGTTTAGTCTTATCGAAACTTTTGTCGTACTGCTAGAAGCTCTGTCGCTAGTTTCTTCGTGCCTGTTAAAGCCGTGTCGTTATTTGTCGAACTTGTTGTTTTCAGTCGTTAGTCGAATCATTGCCGTAAAAAGACGAATTTCGATTTTATCCGCTGTTGCCGTGTTTTTGAACATTTCTGCCTACAACGAACTCACGTTTGTAAAACTCCTTTTTAAGCGGTTTTACAATTTTGTCGACATTATTTCTCAAAACGCGTTTAAAGTTCCATGAGCTAAAATTCAGGATTCCTACAGCCAGGCACGTAAATAATAGGGGACGTGAGGGCGTGACGCCACCAAAAGGTTGGAAAATCTAATGACCGTTGGAAAACTTAACAGTTCACTTGGAATTTTTTCTAACTCTCATGGCCAAATATATGAATTTTAAAGCTTAGGAATTTTGGGATTTAAAATGAAAAATCTGAGACCTTGTTAAAATTCGAACTCTGGAGCAGGCACATCTTCTAAGCGTTTTTAAATGTGAAGCCCTGGATCTCAAATTGCACCATTACACCGTTTGTTTTCTTTTTGACAGGGGTTAAGTTGAATTGAACTATTTTAAACAGGCAAGGTGAATTTCTGGATAAGAAGTTTAAATTTTACTATCAGTATTGATTTAGCCTGCAATTTTGAAAAAAACCATACCCTGTATTGATCAGAACAATTGAAAATGGGAATTTTTCAAGAAACTAGCCAATTCATTTATTACCTCAAAAATCTGTCATTGCTAGAAGTTCTCAACTGTGGCGTGCTGGGGATGAAGTCGCAAGGGGGCAGAAGGTCAAAATGGCGCCCCTCATTTAGCTATCTTTCCTTCAAATTCTCCTTCAAAGTTTTGAAAACATGCAGAAAAGTGCAAGAGATTGGAAGCACGCAGATCTGTATCTAGCTATCTGTGGCGCACTGAAAGACCTTCAAATGAGGGGAGATAGAGCATTTTAAAATAGAGTATGCTATTCGTTGTAGTACCTTTAGGTTATGAACATTACACTGAGTTGCTGACACCGTCCCACCACAATACACTGTGTATATATATGTATATATATCGGAACAACAACAAGCCCAGGATATAACTATACGCCGAAGGAGAAGAAAACTCTCGAATTTTGATGCTTCTAGTCTGCTGGAAAATGCACTTTTTGAAGCAATTTTCAATAGCGCAAGCTTTCTCTGAAATGAATATCTACAGAAAGAAAGCTATTTGATGATTTTAATCAATTTTCTGGTGTTCTTGTTCAATGTTTTAACTAATGGAACATAATTTTCTTCAGATGGGGACATAATCTCTCAGCGTTTTTCCTGTCATTTCTCATCATTTTGGTAAATCAAAACTCCTTAGAGGACTTGTTCTACTGGTAATGTATTCTTAAATTTATTTAATTGCGCCAAATTATTAAAAAAGAACATGTTTTTTAATTGTTTTCAACACTATTCAATGTCATCCAGTCGCTTGTGGTCTTAAAATGTGATGTCCTTGGAATTCCCCTCCAAAATAATACCACAGTTCTAAAGAGAATGCAGTCATCATAGAGAGGTATCTTGTCATCTAACGTAGAGAGGTCTCTCATCTCGTTAGTTTACCTACTTTGAGAGCTCCTCCTTAAGAATTCTGCTACACCTAGTTGCATTGTGTTGTTGTTTTATTTTTCTATATTATTATCATCAGTATTTTGTTAACAATTATTATTGTAGTAGAATTTGAATAATAAATAAATCAAATCAAATCAAAATAATATTTTACAGTATATACGGATGCTATTCAATAAATAAGTTATCTTGGTTACTGCACTCCACAAATTGACTGCGTTGTTGCGCATGATTCTGTTATTAACCAAGCTGTAAGCCAGAAGATAACAATATTTCCGATGGATGACCCAAGTAAAAATCTGCCAAGGAAGGAGTTTTCAGAACATAACAAAGCGGCAATTGCCATTGTTTTAAACAATAAGGCTATTGTCCTTTACTTTATGCATTTGCTTTATGCAAACAATGGTATGTAAATAACTCTTCGAATATACCAATCAATTTTTTGTATATGTTCATTAAAAGCGTTTTAGGCGATAAGAGAGTTTGTACCAATCAATTTTTTGTATATGTTCATTAAAAGCGTTTTAGGCGATAAGAGAGTTGAATTCGAAGGACTGACAACAAAACTAATTCGCAATCACATCTAGACATTTTGATTCTCCCAGCCAACAGTGCTGTAGCAAAATACATTATATTTAAGATACTAATAACATTCAATTTAAATCAATAAAGAAAGATACAACTTTACATTCTGAATTTACAGTTGAATCCTAATTTTCTTAAACTCTGCCAATGCCATTAGGATCCGTACTAAACTTATTTTAACAAATCTGAATTCAAGAAAGACAACAGAAAGGTGGTTGGTCGTATACAAAGATTGAAGATTAAGCATCAGAATAGCATCTTTATTTAAAGTGAAGTGTCTGCAGTTAGCTATGAAATGGTGGCCTCACCATTCATTCCCACCTCGATTCAAATGTTATTGTTGGAACAACTTGGAAAGGAACGCGGAGATAAAACCTAACCATTATCTAAAACAACACAACGAAAGACAAATTTTGTCTGATACATAACTAAGAGGCAACTTCTGGAGGTTTGCAACAGGGATTTTTCGCTGTAGAAGCTCTCTTCAAGATTTCCACTGGTTGGGAGTTCGCGAAAAAAGGCACCATGAGGTAGATTTGGTAGATTGCATATGATGTCTCTACCAATTCGGTCAAATGGTATATACATATTTCCGTACTCTTCAACAAATAACATTTACAATCGGGACTGTCTCTGCTATTTCAACCTTCAAAGATATACCCCACCCCCACATGGGCCCTCTTTTGAAGTTTCATTTAAGCGATAAGTATCGGACCGGACAACTCCATTGCCAAGTAATTTAAGAAAGCAGGGTTCAACTGCTTACTTTATATCGCTCATTTAACACTCAATGTCAGTACAAGCTAAAAGATTCACAATACATTTTTAAGTCTTGATATATCTAATATAATGACTTCAAACTAAGTACAACCAGATTATGCGTTTTTCATTTACCCCAACACACAAAATATACTTCTGGAAATTTATAATCTTCGTTGTTAATGAGGGGATGTCCTTTGATAGTCACGTGCTTTTGCAGATTTTTTCAGCGTTTGAAATTCACATCGATTCTTGCTTGACATCGATTTATACAAAATGTAAAATTTACGTGAGATATTCTCAAGGCACGCTAATATTTACAGGCACGCTAACATTTTCAAAACTCTTTCAGCTTTCTAGAGAGGTTATTTATTTCTGTTAGTATAACCTGAATTTTTCCATCTTTATATTAGAGTGCTTAGAAATATAATTGTAAGCAATGAAAGCTATTTTGGGAAACTACAAAACAGCGAAGAAAATAGAAAACCTGAACTTGTATTTTATGAAATAGAGAACCTCCCTAGCTCACTGGTTCCCTAGTTCACTACCTCCCTAGTTCACTGGCTCCCTAGTTCACTGGCTCCCTAGTTCACTGGCTCCCTAGTTCACTGGGTCCCTAGTTCACTGGGTCCCTAGTTCACTGGGTCCCTAGTTCACTGGGTTCCTAGTTCACTGGCTACCTAGTTCACTGGCTCCCTAGCTCACTGGCTCCCTAGCTCGCTGGCCCCTTAGCTTATTGGCTCCCTAGTTCACTGGCTCCCTAGTTCACTGGTTCCCTCGCTAATTGGCTCCCTATCTCGCTGGCTCCCTAGTTCACTGGCTCCCTAGCTGGATATTCTGTCAACCCTTTCTATACATAAACGTAAATATGTTGTCCAGTATGCAAATCTCGAGTCGAATCATCTCTCCGCTTTGTCGTAGAAAAACCATATGATCACTAGGCCGTGTTTTTGCATTAAAGTAGCATCCTGTTGATTACAATGACGGATCTCGTGGTCGTTTACGAGAATTTTGTCCAGAGTTACCGCGCAAATCTTCTATAACAACATTTACAACATTATTATTCAAGACATCACATTCAGTCGTCGATCCCATAACGCTAGCTTTACTAACAGAACCAATCCGCAATGGGTCAAGAGACGAACAAGAAATCTGATCGTGGCCTAGCTTGCTTTGAACGGTAATACCGGATTGATGTGCTTCACGTTCCGTTCTGTTTTGCATCTTCACTGTTTCTATCCTTACTAGTTCAGAAGAAGGTGACGTACTATACGTTGAAGTCCACATAACACTCGTTTTTAGTTCTGATGCTGCCATTTGCCGTGGAAATATCGGTTCATAGACTGCCGAAGAATGATCTGAAAGCTCGTTGTTGTTATTCCTAAGCTGAGCAAGAGATATCGGGGACGCCTGGGTTAGCCGCGTGTCGGTAAATTCTTTAAAAAAGAAGTTCGCTTCAGTACTGTTCGAAGATCTACCTGACAAAACACGTTCACAGTCACTAGAGATCGGTCTTAACGGTGGCGGTTCGCGGTTGGAGGCAATACTTTCTACTGTCTTTTGTGAACTTATAGAGGGCGAAAGACACACTGCCAAAGGTGGTGGGACTTTATTTTGCCCGTTACTTTTCCATAAATACTCTGTCTCCGCCTCTGTGCTCAATGAAACACTTTGGACTGCGGAGCTCTCTTTCCCCTGCGACGAACTTGCCTCAGAACGGCTGTCATTTGTCTCAGTACTATCACCACTCTCCTTCTGGGACTCGGTCGAGCAGTTTTTCTTTTTACGCCTCTTCGCTAACGGTGCATTGGATACATCCATTAAGGTAAACCCAGTCCGCGCGGCCTTGTGGTAAGCGTGCATGGCAACACGCAATGCCGCCCCGACGTGCGATCCAGACATGTCCAATACATCTGGTGTCATCAACGGCGTCGTTGGAACATCGATTCGACCGCATATCCAATCGTGAGATAACATTCCGGCTAAGGTTAACCGTCGCCGTGGATCAACAGTCAGCAGACCTTCAAAGGAAACAGATTGCGCCCTAGTAAAACTTAAAGAAGAACCTACATTTTGGACACAGCTGACAAGACAAACACCGAAACCCATGACGGGCTGCCTGCATATGTGTACCCTGGGTACCAGAGCCACAAAATTACGTGCCTATAAACAGAGTGCCAAGCAGGAGCTCCGAATTCCGCTTTCGAATTCATGTGGCTCTGGTACCCAGGGTAGCATATGTGGCACGATGTATCATCTCCTTGTCCCGCTCAACGTCGGAGCATGCGTATTTCAATAGCAGGATACCAACATTGGAAAAGGTTAGATCTTATGACTGTTTATCCGGGATTTGATTTTCTCATTATTCATAGCCGTGAGAATATCATAAATAACTCAACACAGTAAATAAGTTGGATACAAAATGCAATTATAATAGTATTAGCACAGAATAGAGATGACTCAGATCATTTCTGTTCTGTGGTATTAGCTTCAAAGCTAAATAACAACCCATTACAACAGAAGTACACCAGTCTGGGAAGAGCATAGTAGTAAATAAGTAGCACCGCAACGCGACGAGAATGAACAACAACAAACACACGTAAATCAGTTACGGCTAATATTTAGTCCCGACATACGGGGCTTCATTAGAGCAGAAGTGGTTAACGGGGCTTCAAAGCAGAAGTAAAAAAGTATCCTAACGATATATTAAGTGGATAGAAACTTGTTCTGCTTTTGGTAATTTCTATCGCTAACAAAATTTTAGAAAGAAAAGCTATTACCTCGAATAAGATCCTTTGCTGAAGAAGATACATTAATCCAGCCATCACCATCAAAGCTAACACATCCATCCATAATGCACCTTGCAATTGCCATTGCTGATGGTTCATAGGCAGACTTTGATTGGAATGGAACTTTGCCTGATAGCATCGTGTACTGAACAAGAAGAAGAAAAAATCATACGCTATTTGGCTAGAATTTTAAAGGCAGCAGTAACAGTGGGTGTTCCATCAAATATGCAGTACTCTGCAAATCCAGAACGGTCCTGTCAGTTATTTAAAATTCACCTCTTACCTCTAATGCGCCTTATGATTTAGGAGAAGAACCGAGCTTTTAATACACAAATGTGATATTAAACATTACATCAAAATTATTCACTTGGTCACTGATGTGCGAAGTCCGTACATAACTCTTTTAAAAACATAATTGATAAATTCTGAATATCGCTCACCAAAATCACGCCAAGACTCCAAACGTCACATGCTTCATCGTAGCCATTAATAGTCTCTTTAGTGGCATGCTTAAGAATTTCAGGCGCTGCATACGACAGGGTGAAACATGGGGTTTGAAGAGGCTGGTTTCCTTTGAATCGAGCAAATCCGAAATCAACCACTTTTAGCTCAGCATCATAAGAATCATCGACAAACAGTAAGTTCTATCGAAGCAAAGAAATAATTTAGAGCAATGATACAAATTATCACAAAGGATCTTATTAAATTTTACTTTAACAGTCACATACATTTACTAAACGTAACTGGATTACAGAAATTGTACTAAAACAGTATCTGGCTTTAGTCATACTAAATGTAACTTAAACTGATTAAAGAACCCCTGTTTATTGTTACATAGTGATGTTTGTTTTCTGTGCTTACGATGATGAAAATACTAAGCATAAACCCTTTCTGAATGAAAAATAGAAGAATAAAAGTTTCATTAGAGGTGTAAAGTTGCTCTTAAAGAAGGCAACAGCTGAGAATATGTGACAATTCTCTGCGTAAAGAAGAATGAAGAGAGGAACTTGAAAGGAAGCGGGAGGTTGCAGTTGGTAACCTTGAAACTTCTTTACACATTGAGCTATAGCTTTCCACCTTTCACAAATAATTCCGGGATTAGATTTAACTTTGTAACGCCAAAAAATTGCTCAAATTTTTCATGCAGAGGTAAACTTAACAGGAGATTAAATCTCGTTAGAAATCAAAGATTGGTAAGCTGTAAAGGGGCGCCCAACATTACGGGCTAAATCCACATTATCTGGATATTCAAGGCAACATAGATAAGCATAAAAGAATCAACAGCACAACTGGAATCACCTCTGGCTTTAGATCCCTGTGCACAACGCCCCTTTCATGCATGAAATGCACGACCGATGCCAATTTTATCATCAGTATCCTCGCCTCAGCTTCTGTGAAATGCTTCCTCGTTTTTATTCTTTCCAGCAACTCGCCCCCATCCAATAGTTCAAGTACTAGGTATGTGTGCAGCTACAAAAACATTATTTGTAAAATGCCTTATTCAGGCAAACAATTGTTTTACATAATCCAAAAATTAATTTTAATCACAAAGTGAATCAACGATGAGCACTCGGTTAATGTTTTTTCGAAGAGAGACTTAAGATCGGCGAATTTGTGCTACAAACGGGTTAGGAAAGGTTGGTAGTTTGAGAAATTTTATTTCTGAGGGTTGGAAAGTTATACAGAAAGTCTTGATCCAGATTCTCGTTTAGAAAGATTGGAAAACTGACCCCTTCTCCTTCGAAATGAATGGACGTAGTGAGTATGACTTAGAAAACAAGTCAAGAGACGCCAAACAAAAAGAAAGGGAAAAAGGAGACGTAAATACGACAAAAATCGATTTTCATTGCCAACAACAGGAATTAATACTTATATACTGAGCATAGTTTTGACTATATTCTGGTAGGGATATTTACCATAGACGTAGGAAGCACTTTCACATGGGGGACACATGAAGGAAAAATTCATGAGCACTTCCACGACCTGCAATTAGGCACAATCAGCTCTGTTTCTTAAAAGAGGATCTCAAAAGAGAAAGCAGGGGGGTATGTTGTACATGTGCCACTCGGTTTTCTATTGACACCAGGATTTCAAACCAACTTTCTTACTTAGGGGTTATAAGAGCCATACTTACATCATCCTGGTGCACTTCATGAAGAGTGACAACATTCGGGTGACCCTGGCATACTCTTAGAGTATTTATTTCTCTACTATGATCCAGCCTAGAATACGAAATTTAGAATGTAAAGTGTACTTTGGACAGTAAAATGTATGCAACAACAGGATGCCAGGACAGAGAATGCTTATTGATTTAGCTCGCAGCATAAGTAATGGGCAGGGGGTGCTCATCTGCTTGATTTGGCTTTGTTCATAAATTTTCGAACCAAGACCAAATTAAAGTGAGGAGCATCTGCTCATTTGCTTAGGTTGCAGCCATTTTGCGGAAGATCAAGCTGTATTTTCTGATGAAAGACTATTTCATAACGTTTTTTTTTAATTATAGATCGTGAAATGTGACATGTATGCAAAAGATGTATTCACGGACATGGATTGGCAACAAGATATAGCATGCAAACGATTGCAATGAAATGATAGAGTCGGCATTCTGTAGAATCTTGCCGACAAAGGTGGGTACTAAAAGTTCAATAACTTCTGACAGTTATGATTTTTAAAAGGATCAGATACAAAAATCTTATTTCATTTCTTCCATCTGTTCAATCACTGTGCAGTTGACCGAGAGAATACAATAGTCACAACGGTTGGGCGAGCATGATTCAGTGAAGGCATAAAAAAGAACCCGATCATTGGAATTTCTAATTTGGGCCATATAAAAAACCCACAAAATACCTCTAGATGTGCAAATAAACTTGGACCTCTTACAAACTGCGAGAGACATGGCTTGTTAAAGACAGGAATTATAATTAAGGATTACTGTTATTTTGGCTTAGTTAATAAACTTTAGATTCAAGACGAAATTAACGGGATTGGATAGGGATAGAGCCGGTATTTATTTGGCTATATATTTTAGACCATGTTAAGAAATTCATAAATCAGATTATAATTACATATTGTAAATCATTGAAGGAAAGCAACACATCTGGTGAATGCAGTAGTGATCATTCATGTCAAAACTAATTCTAACACATACCTTTTACTGATAATTTTCACCGCATATTCGATTTTGGTCTTCTTATTTACACAACGCCTATGAATAGAAAATACAATGAAACTACAAAAACTTGTATCAGATTAAAGACAAGAGTGCTTTACACCTTAGGAAAATATCAAAATATCATCTTTTTAAATTGCTAAAATAGCTTTGAAATTTCTTCAATATAAAATTAGGCCAACAAATAGATATCCAATATACAAAAAGAAGCTTTTACAAAAACGTCACCTGCAAATCGAAAAACTCCCTTCACCCAGTTGTTCATCGAGAAGTTCATATTCTCTGTGAAATGTCGAATTCTAAATGGAAACATTGGATTTTAATCAGAAACTTAGCATTTTCTGCAAACAGGTGACTAGATGCAGTACTGTTTTATCCAAAAAATTCCAGTTGTACTCTTAATTACGTTTTTTTGTTTTGGTTTAACTAGACCTTGACTCTGATATGAGCAAATATAAGACGAGCAAGAAAAATCAGCTAACAAACCAATAAAACCTAATATCAACTCATCAAGCAAAAAAAGTTTTAAAACTTTGCTAAATACATATAGATCGGATGACGATATATAATATAAAAAGAACTTGAAAATTGACGAGAAGTGCTTAAACATAAGTCGTTACAACAATTAAAAATTTTACTAAAGAACGTTCCGAAGTTTAAAAAACTCTAAAAATAATAATGATACCGCATAAAAATAATAATCTATGCAAGCAAATATGGACTTCAATACAAGGTAAATGAAGGCCAATCCAAAACAATAATTTCACTGCATAAAAAATGTTTTTCAAGAAGGAAAGGAAAAATGATGTGTAAGTAAGAGTACCTCAAAAAGACTGGAGTAATGGAGCGATGCAGCTCCTGGTTTTCTACTTCCTGTTGAAGGTTCAAGGATTTCATCAGCTATAGCATTTTTGCCAAAAATCACAGAAGGAGCCACGAAAGAATAGCCCTATGGCAAATATAAAGATTTAGAGGTTTTTATAAAACTGAAGCTTCAACAGTTACTTAATTCCGATGCAACTCAGTCGGTATCATTTAAATAATTATGATCAGAGATCGACGTTCTTTAAATCAAGATCCTTGGACACCGAACATACTGCCAAACGTCAAGGTTTTAGTGAGCTTTTATAGACAATTCTTTCCAGTAAAACCATGAAAAAAATAAAATCAAAAAGTCAATCATATCATCCATAACCTTAATTCCTGCAATTCTAGATAATACTAAGACTTAACAAATATGCTGGATAATGATATTTGCTAAAGAGACCCCGGGAACTTCTTTCTTTATTCTTTCTCGTTGGAGCTAAAAAAGACTTCAGTTCCTTCCTCTTCAAAAATTAGAATCATTTTCAATTTTTGAGCATTCAGATTTGCTAAAAAACCTTCACTTTCTTATTTTCTCTGCTTTTCACAAGACTTCCCGAAAGACTCGTGGTTTCAAATCTATACATCTCTGTATATATTTACAAAAAATAAAAATTCTTGTCACAGGAACGATAGTGAATAATGCTCTGATAAAATAATCATATAGCAAGACCTGTTGTGGGGATGGCTCAGTGGTTAGAGATGCGGACTACGAGGGTCTAGGGTTCAAGTCCCGAAAATGAAAAAAAATTCCTCCCAGAGTGAAGGGGAGTCTTCAGCTCTCAGCGATTCCGTGCGTAAAATCATGAGGTGGTCACATCGAGAGAAAGGACCGTGGTCCTGCAGAGCACTGCTACATAAGCATAGCTTCTCAGTGTCCCTAAAACATTTCTTCGCATGCTAAATAGAAAACAAACACAATCAAATATATACATGAAGAAATTCATCTTTTTGCTTTCGGGCCTTAGTAAAATAAAGATACAAACGGACTAAAAGCACCGTGCTTTGAATCAACACAAGACTTCAAAATGGACTCAAAACAGTGACGTTGTCATAAAACTCTTATAAAAACTAAAATTATAATTTCCAATTCCATACCCTACCATTTATCACTGGTGAACAAGCTTCTCTATGGCAAGGTAGCTGCTCTGAAGAAACCTGTTGTTCACTTTAATGAGCAATCTCAGGAAACTTTGCCAAAAACAAGCATTTTCAAGGAAAATTCTTCCAGCTTCTAGTCCCCAGGCTATTCTTACACGCGCGGACAAAAACACTCAAGGAATACTTCGTAATAATTGAGCACGTTTTCTACATCAGTAATTGACAACATCAATATTGTGAGAACAACAAATGACTTTTTCGGTGCTTAAACTTACCCTGAAAATTTTATCCGAATTTTTGGGGACAGCAGCAGGGGAATCAATTGGGAGCATTTCTGTAAATTCCTCCGCAAAATTGCTGACATCCATTTCGTTATCAATAACAGGCTTAAACGGGGGTGAGACGTTTCTCTTTGCCAACGCTTGCCAGTCGATTGCCTGCACGGATGAAATAGCATTAGAACTCATTTCTATATTACTGGTTGATGTACAATGCCTGCCAAAAGTCTTGGAACACTTGCTATAATTTACGTTGTGCACGAGCTGCAACATCCCCTCCCCCCTTGTACAATGTTGTGCCACGGAAATATGAATAATCCTACATGTACAAGTGATACATTTTTACATAGCTATAGTTTTCAGCTAGCAAATCAACATTGTATGAGGGAGAAGGGGGGCAACACCCTCCTTGTTGACATGGAAATAGAAGGGGACACGCAAACTCACAGAAATCTCAGGGTGTTCCAAGGACTTTTAGCAGGCATTGTACCCTTACCCAAGTTCAATATCGATACCTCTGCTAGGGAAATGCCTATCCTAACTTTAAATGGGAGATGGGTATTTACATGAAAAACTATTGTCATGTAAAAATTAATCTACAAACTTGTTAATAGGGGACGATAAGTTCAGTCATATATTTATATAAATTGTCAGAACTCTGCATTTTACCGGGATTGGTACTCAAATAACATTTTATTCAAGAAGATCCCATGGAAAGCAAAAAAGCTTAAGAGATGAGACGAGCTGTTCATCATGGAAAAAACATCATAACAAATAATGGTTAAAATGGCCAATGATCTTAAACGACCACTTCAGAGTTGCTCGCCCATAAGATAAAATCCAACTTTATTGAAGACAAAATCAGTACAAAATTACCCTTCTTGGACAAAATCAGTTACATATATACTAAAAGTAAACTTCTTTAAAACGTTAACATGCCAACCAATGAAATATCAATTTTAGATCCAATTCTATGCACTCTAGAGGCAACAACTACCACTTCCTTTCCCTTGGTCTCAACCACACTTAAATATTGACTGGCGAAATCTATTTAACATTAAAATAAACAAAATTATGTCTATTCAACTTTACCTGCATTGTTAAACCCTGCAAGTAGCAAGCAGTCATCGAGACCTCTTGCCTCGCGAATTTCGCCCAAAAGGTATCGTTGCATCAATATATAAGCACTACTTCACATACCAAACTTATTTGGTTACTCCATATAACTTATTGATGAGGGGGATTTATACAAAACTAGTTTAAATTCGTAAGTTCTCTTATCCGCGTGGCCGCTATTTGTTGGGTTTTCATTCATAAAGAAAAAAACTAGCAACAAAGTTTCAGTTGGTTGGTTTCTGGACGATGTCGGGGTATAATTTGGGCACAAAACTTTGCTTATCTTTTGTTCTGATGGCGACAGTCGAAAGAATTAATCTACGCACTAAGTCTGAAGATACGCCTTTGCGGGAACATAATCCCTAAATGTTTACCCTTGAATGCAGTATTGATGATGCTCTGACAGAATTGGGGCTGTTCCGGTGAAATAAAAGCCGAATTTCTAATATTGCCGCTATAAATGAATGTATTTGAATATGCGCATTACATGTGATTCCCATAAAATATTCACAGCATACTTTACATTGATTAAACATTAAAATTCCACCATTTATGATAATCTAAACAGCAATAGATAAACTAAAGCTGAACTTTTTGCATGACATTGCATACTGTTCTCATATACTGCACAGTGTCTCTTTTGTTGTAAACAGACCTTTTAATTGTAGATGAATAGCAAGACTGTAACTGTCAAAGGGTAGTGTTTGTGGGCGAGATACCTCAAAACATGTGTAGCAATAAAGTATATCCTACAGGGGTTGTTAAGTCAGAAAACCAAGCATTTTATACGTTAAAAGGTTGGCGTTTCAATTGATGCTAAAGACGAAAAACCGCGAAGGAATGAAGACTCAATTAATCGAATGAGCAGTGAATCTTTCAGAATTTTTAACTTTATGAAAAGAGTGGCGAGGAATTTTAACAATCATTATCTTATTGAGGGTGCGGTATTAAAAAATCGTAAAATCTCGTATCATTGCCACAAAATCCACTGGATAAAGCAAACCTAAGAACACATCCACTGGATAAAGCTAACCTAAGAACACTGAAAGTTTGATTTAAGGTAGACATCTTAGTATATTTCGCAGATTGTACACTCAGTAATTTTTGGAAGCCTGATTTCAAAACTTCTCGTTCTCCACAAAAATCAACAGTCAGTCAAATTGCAGACAAAATTTAAGGCACACTTTTCCACGAAGCAAAGAAAGTAGGTTTTCTGTATAAAAATATCGGCGTTATTAAGATATAAAAACCTCCAAAAACATACACGGGATTTAATATACGACAAAAACAAACACCAGATTACCTTGAAAAAAGGGTGGGATTTAATCTCTTCGAATCCTCTTTGTCCACCTCCAAGCCTCTTTTTGGAGTCTTTTTCCAACAGCCTCTGAATGAGGTTTTTAGCTTGCGCAGACAAAGATGATGGCATTGGCGGCAGGTTGTTGACAATCCGTCTACAAATATAATTGTGATTAATTATATTTCATCAAAATGCCAATAATTATTCTGCACAATGCTTGATTGACGTCTGATGCTTCGATTGAAGCTATGTTCCGTGTGTGAGGAAAGCAGCAAACAGGGGTGGCCTCAAAGCCAGAGGCCTTATACCTGAAAGATCATGCTGAACAGGCAGTTTCTAATCTGATTTATTGCTATAAACGTGAACAAAGTGAAATTTATGCCATTCTGCAACAATAGATAAAAAAATTTGAGTGGCTGCTTGCAAACGTGGAATTTTTGATCGGTCTTTTCGGAGTTTTTTATCGGTCCCCATTTGGGTCAATTTTTGACCCTTACATTCCCAATAAAATGGGGCATGATTTGATCCTCGATCCATTGAAAGATCAGATAACTTTAAAACAAAACTAGAGTAAGAAGCGATCTGAAAGGTTTTTTCTGATTCGTACACAAAAACAGGTGGCTGAAGAAAATTGAAAAACAAAGATTTAGTCACGCAATCAAAGAGGGCAAACCAACAATTTAATGGATTTATTTAAGTACTTAGAAATATCCTGTTGGGTATTCTTCTCACCCTCCACGGTGAAGGGCGAAGCACCTGTGACAAGTTCGTATAGAAGCACGCCAAGACTCCACCAATCGACAGACTAAAAAGAAAAATATGCATCAATGCAGCAACACGAAAATGATAAAAAACATTTCAGTAATTACTAAGTGTCAATTCAGTAACCTCAACAGTCGTGTGCTCGCGTTTCTGATTGGCCCATTTCGATCCACAACTGGGTAGTATTTACTAGCGTAGAGTTTTCGATCTATGTTCTGACGTTTTATACTCTGAAGAGTGTCAGACGAAAAGCTTTAGCTTACTCAAATGCTTGCTTTTTTCAAAGCCATTTTCAAGTTTTGTATCACCAAAAGTTTGTAATTACTAATTCTTTGAAAACTTCTTACTTAATGAATGCTTTACAAAAAATACACTTACACAAACAAGTCTGGTTTAGGTAAACGAAACTCCGATTTCTATACCAGACTCAATAATCCAATTCTAAAAACAGCTAAGTTTAAAAAAATTTTAAAGGTTTGCCATTGAAGAAAATGTTATGACCCAAGGAAAAGCTAAAAAATTATATACTTGCTCACCATATCGTGGCCTCTACTTCCACCTTTAACCACCTCTGGTGCCATGTATTCAATTGTGCCACAAAAAGAATAGGCTCTTCCGTGCTAGAAATATATGTCATGAATTATATATCATATATCAATAGGCAATAAATACTGAGAGGGGAGGGAATGAGCAAAAAATAACATGAAAAATAATGTTGCGAAGCCAGGTAGGGAGAAGATCACTGGAAGTTTATTCTAACTTTGTCGAGCGCAATTGTCTTAGGGGGGCTAAGAGGAAAACCGATACTATGCCAAAGTTGTCAGCAGAGTTACATTTTTGTGCTTGAGAATGATATTCTTAGACATAACGTGTCTTCCAATTTTCATCAAAGTTTCATGACAATAGTTCACAATTCTTTCTTTGCAAAATGTGACTAAAGTAACCAAATAAGTTCTTGGTATCGCAAAATTTGAAGATGGCACGAAATAACGGAAACATGTGACTGCAAGTACATTGCGCCTAAGAATGGCGTGCATTTGTCCCTTGAGACTCAGCAGACCTATCTGTAAGTTCAAATCGAGGTTCGGCCCAAAATCTAACCACTTACCACTCTTTTCATGTAATAAATGGCAACTTGGTGGGGAAAGAGACCGTGTTTAAGTGGCCAAATTTAAGCCGATTAATAACGTATCTAGCTGTTTTCCGATGGTGCTAGAGGTCTTTAACGATGCTCTTTCAGGTAACTGGATCCAAATTAAAAAATTTTAAAAATATATTTTTGTGACGTCATCACTTAAGAACTCTACAAGGTATTAGTACCGCAAAATTTGAGGATAGCACGGAAAAGCGGAAATATAGCAAACTCAAGTACTTTTCGTCAGACACACCTCAAAGTATAAACGACGAATAACGACGAAAGGTATTTGGAAATTTATATTTAACTGCGGATTGAAAGTAATGCGAGAATAACAATAAAGCGTACAATTGTTTTAGCCAACTTTTTGCAAAAATGCAAAATATAATAAAGGAAGCCACCAGTAAAGTCTCTTTCATTTGGGTTTAGCCCCCACAATTTTTTAGACCTCCCACTTTTCTCAACGCTCCGCGGCGCCTGCTTCCGTTCCAACTCCAAGTAGTTCTTAAGCACTAGAAGCTTTATTATGATGTATGGCCCGAGTTAAGGAGTACTCGTCAAATCAGAGTATGGTTCATTTCGCAAATGATCGAGGTTCTTGAATCCCGTCTAGCACCGCTCGGCATTTGTGCTTCAAATAAAGAGCATTGTAATGGATAAGTTCCGTAGTGAACCAAGTTCAAATGAGAAAAAAAATCGGCCGTACCTTTTCGTGAGGAGAAAACAGCTTGCTGAGTCCAAAATCAGTGAGGACCACGTGACCATCGGCATCCAAAAGGACATTTTCTAGCTTGATATCTCTGTAAATTATACCAAGCTGAAAAAGAAAGTTAAATTTCAAATAAAGCTATCCTTAGCAGGAAACTTAAAAAGCAAAGTTGTCGATTGGAAAAGTAAGGCTAGTTGAAATCAATGGATCATTGTTATAAGCCGATGTTATCAGAGTTTTGCTCGATATTTTTTCTTCAACTTTATGTCCCGAAAATACAGAGCGATCATTTAGAGTAATTTACTTAGCTTCAATTATTTTGAATTAGATAAACTAGCCTAATACCAACAACCTCGTCAACAATGTTTTTCAATGCTTTAAACAGTCAGGCAAAGTTTGAGAATATCAAAACATATCTTTATTATCATGAAATAAGAAGTCTTTTGAAGAAACGTTAGATATAAGCTTTGTTAATCCATTTAAAAAGGAACGTGAAGTTAAAATGATTCATTTATGCTAATTTCTGAACTTATTCTTTTTACAAATTGCACCAAAAATGAGGCGAATAATTGAATATTTTTAAACATTCGACAGAAATGCAGCATAGGAAACATCTGAATATAAAATAAATAAAGCCCCTATCTTTCAAGCATAGATTTCTACATAGTACCCTTGCTCTTGATCAATAATTCATTATTTTTCATTGATCACAATTTAATCGATAACAAAAGACAGTTTTTTATTCCTGTTGAAGCTAGCAACATGAGATAAGAAGGCGAAAAATAGGCCATGTTGTGTGGTATTATTAGCCCTTGGTGACACAGCAGGTGTTATCAGAAGATGCCAAATTTATGTGAAATAGTAAAATCATATAACAAATAATTCATAGGCGCATAACAATTTGACAATGCTTTTATTTGCATCGTATTCAATTTGAGCTATTAAAACACGACTTCCAAAAATTGTCCAAACAGAATAATTATGAAAAGACCAGCATGGGACAAAACGGTGTCGTTCGTGGGAGTCGCGGGACACGTGTTTTGAAAATAATCACCAATAAAGGCGATATAAAAAAGTGTAACGAGGTTGTGAATTTATCAGGGGCATATGCGAGTCACAAAGAAACCTGTGATCATATGCGAGTGTTTTTATGACAGCATAACAATCTCCTATTACATTCCTTTCAGAAGCGTTGCGTCGCAATGTCGTACTGCCATCACTATTAGTGAGGGAAATTTAATATTTGTTTGGCCCGGCAAGCACTGTGAATTCGAGAGTTTCTTGTTTGTGTGGCCTTTTCATTTATCCTTCTGATGCAAAATTATCCGATTTTTAAGGAAAATTTTTGGAGTAAGAGGGGGGCAGTTGCGCGCCTAACCTCTCATCAAATCCGTCACAGCATGTATATCTAATAAAGTGGGCTGAAAATCGTATTATTATTTACATATTATTTTATACATCTCTAGTTGAAGCATTCTTACTTTAATACAAAAACTGAATGCAAATAAAAAGTCTGTATGAAGCTACATGACCCTGCATTTTCTCTAACAGATATAGGTATTCCTCATGCCAACTAACATGGCAACTGTCTGAAAATTAGTTTTTGGATTTCCCCCTTAACCTATGGAGCACCTAACCTAGAAATGAGTTTCCCCTTGGTAAGTTCTGAGCTTAGGTACCACAATCATAAAATTCGTCCCATGCTGCTAAAGTTGTCTAACAATTTACTCTACATATAGTGTTTCTTTATAATTCCCTTTCAAAACAGCACTTTCATTGACAGGGATGCCAGAATGGCCAAGGGGCAAGGGGAGCAGGCACGAGTAAAAGGACATTTTAAAGATCATTTCTAGCTTCTAGTTATTCTTTCATAATTGCCATTTTATTTCAATATTTTCTGGGTATCTTAAAAATTGGCTAACACTTGGCAAAAGAAATTCTATTTATAAGTTTTGAGAATTTTGAATTAGGCACTTATAAAATCATTTATATAATTGGACAAAAAAGAGTTAATCCTAAAAAAAGTTAGGCCAAACATAAGAAAAAAATCAATATTATATAATTAGAAATACCAAAATCATGAAGAAATTAGTTCATCATAAATAAATTATTTCATTTTAGTGGTTTTTACCAGTAATACTGGTTTTTGTTACACTTGGGTTAAAGTTTTTCTGAAAAATGAATATTATGTTTTAAATACACAGCTTCCTAAATAGATCTATAACAGAACTCACAAAATCAATTGAGACTTTCCTTCAAGGATCAAAGGAAAACAGTTTCCCTAGTTGATAACTTTTTAAGTCACAGTTTATGTTATCTGTAAAAACCACCTGTGCAGGTTTGTTGTGCAAAGGTGTGATTATGAATTAATTATTCATAATTTGCAAGTTTATAATGCTGAATATGCTACCAAGAAACAGCAGAGGGACTTAAACAAGTTATTTGCTCTAACAACCTAATTAAATGACTATTACCTCCAAATTGTTGACTTCTTGTGTGGATGAAACTGCTACTTGTTTACCTTAATCCTAGTTAGAACACATCAATTTGGTTTCCATAACAGCTAAGAAAAGTAAATGCCTTATCTCGTGACTCGTATCATATGAAAAAAAAATTTTTCTTTAATAACATTTGTACCTGATGCAAATGATCCAAAGCAAGAGCAACTTCAGCTATATAAAATCTTGCTTCATCTTCAGTAAAATGCTCTCTGTTATACAAATGAGTGAAAAGTTCACCACCACTGACAAAATCTTAAAGAAAACAATATATTATCAACAAATATTTATTTATAAAACATCCTATCAAAAAAAGATTGATATCATCATATTCATAATAAAAAACAGATTTCATAGTTACTTGCTCAAAGATAAAAGAGAAGATAAGGTTTCGAAAATAGTCTATAAGTTGTGTTTGGTTTAGTTGAATTCAGTTCTTGGGTTATGTACATTTAAAATCAAATAAATAAAATCTATTAAGCTGCAAAGGCTAAATAATATGAATAATTAAAAACATAATTAATAAATGATAGCTACAGTGACAGAAGAAAAAGATGAAAAAAAGACATTTATTTTCAGCAAGCTACTTCAAGTGGCCAGGCTAATATTGTCAGTGAATATGGACATATGGTTAGCTTGAATGTTATCTTTAAAACAGGAGACTGTACAAGTTTTGTTGTGTAATATTACTAGTAAATGCAATTGCCATTGAATAATAATATTCTAAAATACAAACAGTATTACCATATACAATAGGCATAGCAATAGCCATTTTGAATTTATCTTCCTATTTTTGGCCTCAGTATTTATCTGAGCCAATAATTTGGGCATCAGAATTCAAGCAAAAAAGATCATACATAATAAAAAAGATGAAAATCATATATACCCATTACTAAATGCAGCTTTGCTTCAGTTTGGAAAGCATAAAATAATGTGACAATAAAAGGGCAGCTCCGAACAGCTTCCAAGACACTCCTCTCTGTTATTGTATGCTCTGTTGTCTTTGCTTTTTGCACAATTGCTGCTTTTTTCAAAACTTTCATGGCAAAGAGCTTGCCACAGTCATGGCCAACATTCTTTCGCACAAGAAAGACTTTTCCATAAGCTAAAAAAAAACTTACAAGTAAACACAAAAGCACAAAAAGACCCTGAATGTTGCAAAAGATTGATTCCATTTGTTTTTGACTGGCTGAAGTTGCATTAAACGTTTAATGCAAGATACCATTCAGGAAAGGTTTTTGTATGTGGCCATAAGTGAAAGTTAGTGGCATGGCCAGTGCAAGTTAATAAGAGGTGATGGCAACAGAAATTGAGCTTAAATTAAGTTGGCTGGGGAGTAAGGGAAGAAAAGGAGACTGGGAATTGATCCCCAATGAATATTTTACAAGGCTTTGAATTGACCTAGATATCTTGATAAATGTAGGAGAGGTTTCCTAGAAATGAGCACATGAGAAGAATTTTTGCAAATAAAATGAAACAAAAGTGGTAGGGGCAATTGGCACACTACCCCACCCCCCTCCCATGTGGCCATAGCAAACTCACAATTCCAATCCTTAATTTTAATTTTTCAAAAACAAGTTGTTTGTTATGAAAAATTAAATTAAAAGTTTTACACATGATATCAAACATTCATCAATAAAAAAGAATGCACTAATAACGTTTCCTAATCACTACTGTCTATGTGTTTAAAAAAGAAAAATAATTCGAAAATAAACAATTATTCGATTTACGTCACCACAAAATTAAGAATTGTGAAACATGAAACGTGACCAACCCGAACAATTGCAAGGCCTTCCGACTTTTTTGCAAAACAAGGGATTTTTCAAAACCTTTTTTTACTATGGGTGTTTAATTTACTTATCCCCCCCCCCCCACTTTCGAACTTCTGTCGGAGCCCATGAATTGCAGCTATCCATTTCATTTACTACCCACTATGGGAAATTGTTTTGATAAACCGCAATATTTCTCGATGTTAACGGTCATATTATTTAGCATTAAAACTATGACTTCACAAAACGTAGATGACCTCGAACAAAAGCACTAAACAGTTTCTTTTAAGTCTCTACAATGTTTGTATTTGCCAGCCACCAAAGACGTACAAACAGCCGTGCCTTGCAACCAAACAGATTCTAAGGTCTGGAGACGACGCCGGCGGGTAGATGCAAAATTTCAATAAACACGAAAGTAAATTCAAATGCATTTCATACCTCCAGTTCCAAGCACTTTCAGGAGCTCAAAATTCTCGATTCCTACTTTGTTATCGAGGGCTGACGCGTTTGCTAAAACGAAAACAGATCAGATCAACTTGACCTCCATTGCAATTAGGCCAGTGATATTGGATTTGTTCATAAACCGCACAAAATATAGTGCAAGAAGGCAAAGATATTTAAAAAAAGCTTCTACAAGAAAATTATCACATACCCATCACGACGAGAGATCTTGCAGCAGCAGCAGCAAGTCTCTGTTCTGGAAGAAATTGTTAACACCAGTCATCTCTTGCTGCAAGGACAACTTCTGCAGCAGCAAAGTGCTGGGACTGCATAACAATAAGCTTGGAAATATTGTTCCCATTATTATTATTGTCTTCGATGGGGTGCTAATGTAAAATACGGACCACAAACTCTCAGCGATCGCAATATTTGGATAAAGTGCACAGTGTGAAGGGGTCGGATTATGACTATCGCCCTCAAAATTTTAGCGCCTTTTTATTAAAACGGTGTGCTTATGTACCAGGTGTCCCTTTTCGCTTATTCAGGCACAAAATCCATGAAGCTCAGCTGTCGCTCCTGGCATTTCAGTGAAAAAGATAATTTAGTATAGTTTCAGAAATTTAGAAAGCAAGAAATTGTTTTAAGATAGTCCTATGGAAGATTGAATAATTAAATTACTGAAATCCAAAGAACTAAGCACCATTGGAGCTAAGCTCCTTCAGACCCCCGTTATCTAGCAGTTGGTTCGACAGGAAGCAAAAAAATCTGTCTAGATTTCTTGGACAGATTTGACCCTCGTTTAGATAAGTTGCCTTTCAAAATGATTGGAGCCAATAAAAAAGGGAAAAAGATATTATAAATAAAATAGAGACAAAAGGAAAAGAAAGATGAAAATTGAAAGTCAGCTTCTTCCTTTTGCTCTGTTGGGCTTTCAATGCAGTTGAATGAGGATTGGGAGATTCTCCTCCCCCAAAGTGGCAAAATATCTCTTTGAAAAAGGGAGTTTTCTGGCGTTCATATAGGTGTTGGCCCCCACTTTTCCTTGACTCAACTCGTCTTTGCCCACCAATCTTACCACCCTGGCTACGCTTCTAGCCTCGCCCCCTTTTTGAACAATGACTACTCCGTTGTTGTTACTTGTTCTTTGATCGGAGGACAGAGGATTCCCAGGCCACTGTGCACTTCAAGTGTAAATAAAATTACCGTGATATGAGCAATTATTTGATTGAGGCGCCGATTACAGTTAGATTTTGTTTGGAAAACTGAGCAAAAGCACTCTTGAACAGAATTATTCCAACATTAGGAATTCCAACTGCAGAAAAATGACATCAAAGACAGTGGCGTAGCGTGAGCGCAGAACTTAGGCATGCGGTAACATAAAATATACGGCTATGTTGAATAAATGTAATGGTAATTTCAATTTCTAAAAAATACAAGCGTTAATTAATGATAATCGTGATAGCAAATTTTGATTTTCAAAGTAACAAATCATTTGTACTCTAATTCTAACCAATCAAGGTGTCTATTCTTAGCATCAGAGGCTCCGATAGAGGCTCCGATCACCCATGCGAAAGTTTTTGAAAAAAGCTCAATTGTTTAGCAAGACTTTTCAGAATAACTCCTAGTGCTAAAACTGCTTCGCAAAAGATTTTATTCTTATTCATATTCCTCAAGAAAAGGCATCACCTAATGCCCACCTAATGTAAGAATTTTTTATGCTATAATGAAGCTGGGGATTCCCGCAAGAAGGAGCTCTCCACATTGCGAAATTGTTAACACACTGCAGAGCCTAAGCGAACAGGAGCAACAGTTTCTGCTCATTTTTTACTCTCATAGTTAACGAAGATGAAAATAGTGAGCTGTGAGAGTTGTTAGAATGAAGATGCTTCCATGTGTAAAGTTTCAGAAAGTTAGTCCCGGCAAATCATCATGTGTTTGGCAAGGCTTGCGCTCAGGTCTACCGCATGCCCTGGTCCGTAAATTCTGACTATACTGGCAAGTCTTTTGACTTGAATTACGGAATGCGGATCATGACAAATAGACTCTGTCCCCACTTTGACGAAACATTTTCTCTTTTCAACAGTCACAAAGTAAAGAAAGGAAAATAATTGGATTTGAAATGATGTATCACGCAAAGAGTATTCGCAAAAAGCAGCTTATAGGTAGAAAAATGTTGTGGATTATCAAATATTTGGGAAGGCTTGCGCTCAGGCCGACCGCAAGCTCCAGTCCGGAAAATTCTCACTTCTCTCAGAAGCTTCTCTCGAGTTGCACTGAAGCTGCACTGGAGCATCACATGTTTCTCTTATTTTGGACAGGCAAAAAGAGTGATGTGGAGGGGCTTCAGTTTTTCAGATTTTTCGAATTTCATAATTTTTAGCGATCTGTTTACTTGGAGAAATAGCCAATTGGGGCCAATTGGCCTGTTGGCGCTAGAGTTCACCGCATGCTGCTCATGACAAGAAAGAGAAGCCGTTTATTGCGGAAATTGTTATGCATTGAAAGTGTTGCAAGAATTTTAGACTTTGTCTATAAATTTTTACGCTTGCGCCGCAAGCGTAGCATACATAGACGCTACGCCACTGATCAAAGACAACGCTGTTATCCTTCACCAGACATCATTTGCTTTCCAAGCATTTCAGATCTTTTGGAACACTTTCCTGCGGTGTGAACAGAGAGTTTCAAAGGTTAGTTGAAAAACATCATTAAGTGTTTGACGCATGATGGCTTTTAAAATGACGCTAAAACTGCGCTGTTAAATTTAGGCCAGTCAGGTGAACACGGCGGAAGTCGTCCCGTGACCAGTGGTTTAGTGTTAGGGGGCGCTCTTCCTTTTCCTATATTATGCGCAAAAGCCCCCTAGCAATCATTTTGATAGCACTACAACCCTGTAGATGAATATTGACGGTAGAGATCAGTGGTAGAGACCATGCAGTGGTGGCGCCAGGGGAGGGCTAGGGGGGCTACAGCCCCTCCGTCGGAAGCATCTAGCCCCCCCCATTGGAGGAAATTTTAGGTTATTATCGGAGCAAATTTGACAAAATAACGTACGAAAACTGCTAATTTTAGTCATTTTAGCCCCCCTGTCGGAAGCTCCAGCCCCTCTGTCGGAATATTTCTGGCGCCACCTGAGACCATGATCAGTCTTCCTGACCGAAAGCTCCTCTGAGTTATTTCTACGTGTCCTTCAATATTTAGTTTTTCCTTGCTGACAATTTCATGTAAAATTTGCTTTTTAAATCTTTTAATCGTTTATGTTTAACACTATCGTATCACTTGTAATTGTTTAAAATATATTGATAATGAAATGTTGAAGTTCCTGCATTTGATGATTTACCGACATTTTCCTCGATAATTGCCAAACCAAAGACATATCATCAATCGATCTGAATTCCATTCAGGGTGTTTCTTTCGCTAAGCAGCCACACCCCTCCTCAGGTGGCGATGGGCCACTCCTTTCAACTTAAGTTATCTAAGAAAGTAAGAAGAGATGAGATCCAACAGCCGCGGCAAAGGGGTAGTCATGAAGCGATAAAATATCCTTCCTAAAATATTCTTAGTAAGCAGACTAATTTTTAGAGTAACCTTATAATCACTAAGCGTTTTCTCGCGAAACAAAAATTGGTGAGACAGGCTCCGCGGAACCGGGAGGCTCTAGCATCCCCCTCTTTTTGCAAAAGATGCTAAAAATTTAGAAATGGATCACTAGTCAAGCCTTTTTCGGTTTTTGCCCTCCCCCCCATTTTTTACACCTGCCCCTGCTTAGCTCCATCAATCCTCCGCTTTCCTGTTAAGATCGTTTTCATTGTTTTAATTTGTTTCTCGATTGATCATATATCTACAAACTACTAAAGCCATAATAGAATATGTTTTGTATTTCATGTATTATTCTTTAAGAAGGCTGCCCTTCAGCATAAGCTCGTTTTTCATGATCTTGGGTCTGAGAAAAGCTTTATACCGTCTAGAAGTAGTTCATTAAAAAAGTTGTTAATAAAACCAAACTGCAAAACCCTCTTTACAATGTTCATAAATTGTGTACAATGGTACTAAAAAAGAACAACCAAGAGAAAATTGTGGCCGTTGATACACGAGCTACATACGTGCTCGCCAATTTTTTCCATCCTACTCCAAAGCAGCACAGTTGTTGAAGTTTCGTAAGTGTCTAATTTTAGTTGAATAAGTAAACCCAAGACAGAAAACAATATCAAAAATGGGGTTCAATAAATACCTACTTCTTACCTTGAGGCTTGTGTAGGAAACTGCCTTGATTTGAACTTTCACGTCCAAAGACTACCGTAATGCCTCGAACAAGCGCCCCCTCAAATAAGAGCCCCCCTCGAATAAGCGCCCATCCTTCAACCTTCAGAAATGGGCGCTTATTCGAATTTCCAACGAAAACATAATTGGAAAGCAATTCAACACGAAAGATTAATGAAGAACACAATTTGCACCCACATCTACTTTTTAAATAAGCACCCCCCTCGATTAAGCGCCTCCCTCAAAAAAGCGCCCACCCTGGAGCCTCAAAAATTAAATAAGCGCCCGGGCGCTTATTCGAGGCATTACGGTAGTCGATTTGCAAACCAGTATAGCTAGTTAATCTTTTTTGACTACTTTCATTTTATTATCACATATTTTCAGCATCCAGTCTTCTTTTTGAACCTCTGGAATCTTTTTTTGGATATTGGAGAGGGTTATTGTCTGTTGTAGGAAGGTTTCAGTTCACTGACATTTCCTTTCATGTTTTTTAATTCAATGGTCCATATAATAGAAATTGGATGACAGCATGATTTTCGAAGTATCCCGAAAAAGTGTTCTTAAATAGTAACTTTAGACTTGCAATATCTGTTTTTTAATCAACATATCGCTCCATTCAACTCATATCTCAACTAGAAACTTTCTCAATCTCAACTCTGACGTGTGTTTTTTACCCACATTGCACCATGTTAAAAAATATCATCGCCGATATTGAATATCAATTCAGCATTTGTTGCAGGATCGATAAGAGTTGCAGGTTCTGCCTTATCAGTATCTAACTTTTTTGTTATATTTTGTTTATTTTTTCATTGTTAAAATTGAAAAAGTTTTTTTGTAGATAATACCTCGGCTTACCTGGTCTTTGCAATTTAGGGTAACTATAGTCTTCCCTGTACAGTTCCTATTCTGTAACATCCTTCGTTTAAGCACCATAATTTCTCTTCAAAAGAATATTAAAGCTCTTTCATTCTTCAAAGCATTAGGCAACAAGACAGTTCTAGATGTAAGTTAATGAATTGCCCGGTCGGTCATTTCAGTTTTCAAGGGGAAGCAATAGGTGCACAAGGCGGGGGCTTTGGAGGGCTCCAGCCAACATAGAGCTGATAAGATCGCTGCAACTAATAATCCTCTAGGGGCTCCGACGAAAGTTCGAAATTGGGGGAGTCAAGGGCAAATTAGTGACCCAAAACAAATGATTTTCCTTTAACGCTCTACTTTTTTGCAAAAAAATGAAGAGGGGGCCCTTGTTGATAAGAACAAGCGTTCAACACCTAGCTGACAGAATAGATGTCATGCAAGAAACAACTGTCAAAATGGAGCACTTAATCTTTCAATCTTAATGCAAAAACATATCCGATACTCCTTTAGCGTCTTTGGTGCATGCTATTTTTTTCGAACTTCCTTTATTTCCAAATGACTGCACTGTACTTCTTCTAGACTTAACCCATCCTCGTGTCGAATATAATAAGACAAAAACTTTTCCCAGCTAGGGCTCCCATGACATGTATTGGTTCTTTAATTTTACGCCCTTGTCCAGGCAAAGCAGACAGTATCCCCTAAAATGGGCTAAAACGAACATGAAAATATCGAGTCATGGTATATTTTTTTCAGCTAATTCGTGTCAAGAAATTAAGGCGATTTTATTGGCTTGTTTCGAAGCCAAGCGAATTTGATTGGCTTGTTCACATCGATATTTCAAAACACACGGGTTCACGGTCTTGCATTTATTGCAAGTCAAATCTGCTATCGATAAAGTTTGTTTGCCAGTTGAAAAACTTTTCCGCGAATTTTTATTTTGTAAATAATGAGGAACTTCTTCTGCTGATTTTAAGCTCGTTTCCTCTCTTCATACATAGGGATATATCTTTCCAGAGCTGCGCGTTGCAACCTGGGACATTTGTCCGGTCAGTTTCAAGCTCTACAACTGTATTCAAGTCACACGGCAACCTCGATATCGAGCAAGCAGTGCTACGATATACAAGATACAAAGGGAAAAGACCCAATTTGAAAGATCTAGCCAAAGAAACCGGACCGGAGTATGCAGACCTGCAAGTTCGAGTAGCAGATGCCCGGTCTATCGAGCCAACCATTGAAGAGTACGGTTTCCAGCTGATTAAGCATCAGACGGAGCTAAAAAGGAATGATTTCAGCTTTACAAATGAAACTTTAATAAATTGGTATTTTGATGAGGTCAAGGAAGCAGTGAAAAAGATTTTTCCTGATGCATCGGATATCAAATTAATTCAGCATCAGGTTCGTAAACAGTTGATTTTCAAATTCATAGTGTCAAGGGACAAGCCCCTAGATACAACCTTTGCAATCATGGCGAAATTCCAACCAGAGGGGCACTTTCTGTTTATTTTCTGAAAAAGGGAGAGGCATGTCCCCAATGTTCCTTGGCTTCCAAGCTCCTTGTTGTTTCGATATGTATTTAGTTCATTCGATACTCAGCAGAGCTTTTCCGTAGCAAATTATATGGTTAATGATAGCTTATTGCTTCTGCGAAGTTTTGTCATACAAGGAATTTTTCTTTGTAACTTTAGGTACGACAGTCAATTCCTGTGACGCCACAGGTCCATAAAGCAAATGATTCCGATTTTAGCAATTGTGAACCACGTGGCTCCCAAATCCTAGGAGCACAGCCTCCAGCAGCTCTAGTTCATTCTGACTTCACTCCTTACAGTGCAATGAAAACCTTCAGCCAAATAACTAAACGAGAGTTAAGAAAAGGTCGATTCATCATCGTCAGCGTATGGAGGAACATATCCGACAAATGGTCAATTCAGAATGATCACTTAGGCCTCTGTGATGTGCGCTCAGTTAAAGCTCCAGATGATTTTGTGGTCGCTGATAGTGGTAGCGGAAATGCAACCCATGAATTGTACGTACTCGAGCCAGGCCGGCATAAATCGCACCAATGGTTTTATTTCCCCAATATGGTAAAGGATGAAGTCTTGATATTTAAACTGTACGACAGTGATTGTGATGAAGCTTCGAGGTTTGTGTTCCATTCATCATTTCGTGATCCCAATGCTTCTAGCACTGCTCAGCCACGTGAATCAGTCGAATGTCGCTGTATTGTCTTTTTTCCCGATCATGAACCAAACACTATACCGGTTGACGTTGAAAGTAAACAAAAAGAGGACCTTGTTGGGTTAGCTGTTGAGAAAATTATGGAAGCACTAATGTTCGCTCAGTATTGGCCAGCCATAAGAAGGCTGGGCATGGGTGCAGCATTGTACAGAGATGATGGTGTGTCATTTGTGTTGAGACAAATGGTGAACGGGTTCGTAAAGCTTCAGTTATATGGGCTAGAAAGCGCTAGTCAAGAACAGTTGGAAGAAATAATTGAGAGATGCTTGTCTGGAGGACTTTTTGAAAAAACTGCCAAGGCTAATTTCAATAAAGTTCCATTAGAGGATGCCGTCATCCCAATTGTCATGGCTCACGTAGAAAGCCCAGCAAATTGGTCGGAAGAAGATAGAAGTCAGATCAAGCTAATTCTGAATGAGGATAAGGGCCTAACAAACATAGCGAAGAAATGTATCACCGATGCTGTCAAAGAAGCGTTTGGAGAACTGAATGAAAAAGAGTTAAACGATATTGTTTCCAAACTTGTGACAAATGAAGAGTTCAAGAAGAAAGTAGAAGCATTGTTGCAAAGTTGAGCAGGATACGTCAAAATGACAAGCAATAATAAGGGAATCCACGAAATTATCCGTGCAACTGGTTTAAAAAATTACTTAGTATATAACTCAATTTGATTATGTAAAATTTTATTGGGCTATTAGCTATTGCCCAACGCCATAATTCGTTCTTGCATCGCTGATTTTAAAATTCTAATTACCTATGATCATCTTAAAATTGTATGTTTGTTGATGACCTAATTTCATTCCGTAGAGAATTCCGAATCTTCAGACCCAAACGGTTAGAACATTTTCTATCATAAGTTGTTGTTTTAACCTCAGAAAGAAGCAGATTGTCTTTTTCGCTTTTTTGGAAGGAAATACTCTGTCAGAAAAATTGGATATATATGTTTTGCAAAATTGTGTAAATTTTCCGGCACCCACAGCCGAACAAAGTGAGAATAAAATTTCATGGATTGAACCTTGGTTTAAGGGCTACTTTTCGGTTAGATGTAATTTGAGGTAATTAGCACAAGGTTCTTTTTTCAATTTTTTCCGCTTCATTTGGCTTTTCTTTCAGCAATCTTTCAAATAATCAAGTCAGTGCACTTCCAAGTTTGTTTGTGGGGAGTCCCTTTGTCCTGCAAAGTGTACTTTGTCCTTCAAAATGTACTCGCCCCAGTCTTCTTCTGTTTATTATACCCGTAACGTTGTTAGAAATGTTTAATTGTGTTATTACGATATTAAGAGAAAGTCACCATAGTTAACTAGTTATAACTCGTAAATAACAGCGTTATGTATGAATTTCATGATTAAATCAAATGTTGGCAATAAATTCAAATAATGCTCTGTTCGCAAATGGAACAGAAATTGATGAGATCAAGTATGAATGTGAATACAGAATTTGAAAATAGCTTTGAAAAAGCAAACATTTTGAAACATGTTTTTATACGGGTAGCATGTTGCAATATGTTTGCTTTTTTAAAGCCATTTTTAAACGCCTGCTATTGATTTATTTTTCTTGCTGGTTGGGTTACTATATTGTTATCGTTTTTGCCACTTATGGACGTCTCAGTTTCAATTCGTAGATAGAAGGAGTTTTCAAACAATCTTTTGGTGGTACAAAATTTAAAATGGCTTTGAAAAAATCAAACATTTTCAGTTATACTAAAACTTTTTGTCTGACACCCTTCAGAGCATAAAACGTCAGAACATAGATCAAAAACTCTAAGCTAGGAGATATATATACCCAGTTGGTGATCGAAATAGGCCAGTCAGAAATGTGAGCATATGCCTGTTGAGATTGCATAATCAGTGCCGCTTGCCTATTAAAAATGTTACCAATGGAATCTTAAGATGAAAACGAACTCCTGCTACTTACAGAATGACTTCTTTCTACGTTTTGGTTAATTCTGGGGAGTGCCCTCGGAACGAAATTAATATTAGGGGGCTGCCCATTATATACTTTCTCATTCCGTACACCGTTACAAAGGAAACATGATTCCGACCGGCCTGCTGGGAGGCTACAATGTAGGCGTCAGACAGCCTTCAGAAGCCAGACCGGTTTTTAAAAAGGCGTTTGGGCCTGTTTATCCTCGGTACCAGACAGGGTAGTGCCTGTTATGTTCTCCCACATCTAGCTTTTCTGAGAACTTAGCAGCTATGGAGGCGTTTTTGAGGTCATTAATTATGTGTGCCCCCAGGGACAATGCCATGTTTGTCCTTTAAAATTAAACGTAGTACTATTGCCATGGAACTAGTAGTTGTCATCAAACAAAAAGCGATCCAGAAGATGGCAGCTGAAAAATATATCATGGAAATGGTAGGACGAATTCAGAATTGGCTAAAATAAATTTCCACTTCTCAGGGTAGGTCAAATATTTTTCTGTCAATAAACAGTCTTTAGCAGAGCATTTATAAGATAAAATGACGTCACGTAAGAACATGCTCAGCCTCGGATGAAAAAATTGCAAGATTAGAACAAAATTTTCAGAAAACATCATTGCATGTCATTCAAAGCTGCTTTTGAGTGTTGTCTTTGAAATATTTAATTAAATGTAGTCAAATTTAAACTGATGTAATTCAGTAGCAAATTTACAATTTATCGAATACGTCAACCAAAGATATATCAATTAAAGAAACCAAGTTAAAGATTGATCGATACAATATGATTTATCTAATAAAATTCTTTTTAAGTTGCCCAAGACACCGAGAGAACCAAGAAGGTTTTTGAGCCCAGTGCCCTGATTCTAAGGTTGCATTTGGTTGCTGGTGCAAAGTATTTTTTGAGGCTTTCAACAGGAATTTCATTAGGTTTTGGAAGAAATTGGTCCATTGGTCCATTATTCAACAGTGCCGCCCTAAAAGGTTAGGAATTGGGCTGTGCTGTAGGCAAATTCAAGAGGCCACATCCATGACCATACCCTTACCACACCCAATTTACTTGCTTTTGTGTTAAAGACCCTCCGTCGTATGTAGAAATCATTCAAACTATGCAATGATACACAAAAACTGATAAGAAATTGCGCATTCGTGAGAAATCTACATTATAATGGAAGGTTGCCAACACAGAATTCATCCAACCAAATATGAACTCACTTGCCAAAGGTGGGCTGACCCCCCAAAAGTTTCCCTGAATTATAAGCAATTACAACTTAAACTACTATAAAAAATAGAATTAATTAATATAGAATAACAAGAAATTTTAATATGGAATATGAATATAGTTAATGGCTACTTGGCGCATTAAGAAAAAACTCATAAGAGAGCTATTGAACTAAGAGCCCCTGCTTAGAAATTTACGTTTAACTTGAATTGAATTTAAAAAGAAAAAACTTTAAGACAACAAATCTAGGTAACAACTAAACGAAAAACAATGAAAGAAATTAATGGGATGAGAAAGTAAGAGAAAAAAATGAAGAAAAAACAAAAAATAAAGAAGATAGAAAGGAAAAGAATCCGCCAAACTGCATAACAAGATAAATCTTACCAAATTGTGAGCCAATTTAATACAAGGTCTTTAACAAACATGTTCAAATAAATGCACTTGAGCCTAAAAGTATTTAGAAATTAAGAATACTGAGCCTTGGCAAAAATCATTTGTTTCTTATAAAAATAGATCAGGACATTTGTATATAAAATTCCTTTTTTTTCTCACAGTTGACTGTTCCGGATTTAGCGAAAAAGTTGTTGAGACTTGATCTTTATTCATTTTTTTTAAATAGATAGATCGTATCAGTTGGTGGTGATAACGCTTTCTTATGAACGTTAATACGCGGAAAACCATCGTAAAATGGAATAAAATTCAGTTTTGGAAAAGCTGAGGTGGATATCCAATGACTTTCATCGCCCATTCTAGACGCCCGTGCGTGTCAGAAAAGCCTGCATATGTCACGCCCGTATATATCATATGACGTTACTAACCCCGCTCTTTTCGTAGAGGCTCGTCTCATGGGATTCAACGCATGTTGGAAGGTGGGGGGCCAAGGGAAAATTTAACAATCATAGCAATAGATTTTGAACAAAGCTCTATTGTTTTGCAAAAAGTGTGGGCCAAAACCAAAGCCAAAACAAAGATTTGCCTAAACCTGCAACAGCCAAAACAAAGATTTGCTTAGTAAGCAATTTTTCGAACTCTGCGCGCCACTGCAGATCCTATGCCTCGCTTTGGCGTTGCCATAAACAATCTTTTTGACAACCTGGAAGAAACAAATCACTCGGGAAATAGCAGTCAAACTAGTTGTTTTCCACGAAGAAAGTTGCCAAATCTGGTGAGATTAATGTAAAGATTAAGATATTTTGGTTCATTACTGTGATTATTATTGTTAACACGTAACTTAATTTGATAGTCATCCCAGATAAGGCTTTATAAATTTTTAGCTGGTTCACCAATGTTTTTCTTAGTTATATTGCCGGATATTATGAGCCAGCCTAATAACGCATACTTTTTGCCATCATATGAAATTTGCCAAGTACGCGTTAAAAAGTATTGGGGCACGTCAACAAAAAATTATGGCTTTATTACATTTGATTAGGTTTTGCAGTGCACGTTGTCCAGACCCGCCAGGGCGCCGGAGAGGTGTGCGGGACAATGGCCCCTCTAGCCCTTTGAGAGGAGGTGCAGAAAGGGAAGTGACCTTCACATAAAAGGGCACTTGACTTTTGTAAAATGCACTTGAAAAAAGACTTTTGTAATTGTCAAAGAGATAAATTCTGGCTGTAGTGCCCTCCTGTTCATGAAGACATTTCTCAAAACTTGTGAAAAATATCCCTTCTGCAAGAATTAGCCCATGTCTAACATGCTAATTATCTGAAAGGTACCAACGAATAAATTTCAAATGCCCTTATACTGAAGCCTATCCAGTTGCCCATTGCAGCATCCTTGAGATATGCACTGTATTTTCCTTATATAATCTTGGTCATAGTGTCCTCAATAAACTTTAAAGTTGAAAATGCACATTTACTTTTGATATAAACATAGAAAAATTGAAGGACTGTTCTGAATTTATTGCATAAATCAGCAAAATATAATACAAATTGAATGGCCCAGAGAAGTCACCTTTTTTGAAAATTAAACTTTGAAAATTTGAAAGATAAACAAATAACTTAATTTTTGCATAAACATTAAAAAAAATTGGATGAAAGGAAGTAATAAAGCTATTGAGATTCAAAAATTGGATCGAATCAATAGACATTGCAATGTTGTTTAATTAAGATCTTTACCCAAGCTGAAATTATAATGCAAACCATGAGAACTAAGAAGTAAATAAAATGAATAAATTTGCTATCATTGGGTATTTATACTAGGCAGCTTGAAAATTTGTATTTTTATGTTTTTTTCTATAAGTGTTTATGAAAATATTTCAAAATTTATTGTCTTTAAATTATTTTAACTTTTAACAATACAAGCCTATTGCTTTGCAGTTCCAACACAGGGTCAATGCCACTGATCCTAAAATGGACTGACCAGCAATGTAAAGAGAGTTTTCTCTTTTCCCTCTAGCCCCAATTGTGGGAAAAATTTTGCTGAAAGTGGTTTACTTGTGACCTTGGTTTCAATGTCTTTGTTGTAATCTAAAAGATTATTTATAGATAATTATAGCTGTTTTTATTCTTTTATTTAGCAAAAATGTGGGGAGGCCATGGCCCTCCTGGCCCCTCCAGTGGTATGGGCCCTGCTGTGCCGTTGGAAATGACTTGGTCTACCTGTGCTTGGTAGATTTTTTCCCAGTTCTTGTGTAGCAATTTTCAATACCTTTATCACACTTTTGCAAAAAGTGTAATCATATAACAGCTTCTTGTAATTAATTTCTTTATTTTTGAAAACTTCCAGTTTATTTTTTAAGGTCAACAATATTTCTATAGTTGATCTGTTTCAAATTATTTAAAGTGCTTGACAGTCTACAAAACATAACCAAAATCCTGTGAAAATTTTATGGAAGTATGTGCTGTTTCTTTTAAGTAAAAAAGGATAAAAGTACACGTCTTTCAAAATTCATTGCATAAAAAGTATTTTAAATTTTGAAGGTGTTCAAATACTTTTTGAATGTAAGTGTAAATCTAGCTTTCTTAGTATTTAGTAAAGCCTGACCTGCAATTGAACAGTGTTGGGTTAAGATCTATCTTGAGCAGTGCCAGTTTGATTGGGGGTTTGGATCATGCTTGTAAAATTACATGTGAAACTCTTTGATTTGGAACCCTGTTTTGATTTCAAAAAAGAGCCCTTTGATATTTGTTGTGCTTCTTGGCATGTTTTGTCATGAAAACTTGTTTTTGTGTTTTTCAAATTTATTTTTCCTTGTTTTCTGCATACCATTTCTATTTGAAAACTAACAAACTAACATCTCTACTAACAAAATGAAGGGGTGGAGGTTTACTACAATAAGACACCTTGACCTATATGGTTTTAAGTGAACGATTACTCCAACTGGCAAACATTCCCTTTATTTAGGATAACTCTACTGAAGCATCATAGTCATTTACAGTTTCACAAAATAGCCTTGAAAAGGATTGTCTTTTGTAATGGTTCAATTTTAACTCAAAAGGACACATATTGAACTGTATATCTTCCTTTTTCCTGGAATGATGTATGTCCCCAGCAGGGGCATCATGACCAAGAATTCTAGAGGTGGCCAGAAAGAAAAATTTTCAGACAAAATTTCTTTGATTTCTTTTCATCAAATAGATGCATTTCATGGTTGTGCAAGGGAGAGAGAGAAAATCACATAACCTTTGCCTTTTAGCTGGAAAGATATTTAAAATGCACTGTTTTATCTTGTCTCTGTTCCTTCGTACTTACTACCTGAGGCGGCACCATGGCTGCTGCGGAAGGGAAAATTTTTTTATAAGCTTAATGCTTCAAATTCGCCGGAAATTGCATTCTATGGAGCAAATTTTGATAATAAAATTTTATTCTCAAAATGAATATCCACTGGTGAAAAGTGATGGTATTGATCGACTTCTTCCTTGTTTTACCTTATGCAACATGACTGCCTAAATTTTCAAATCTGGTGATAGACAAAAAATTGGCACTATCCCGGTCTTAAATATCAAATAAAGATATAATTTATGACCAATATTGCAAATTTCCATAACCAAATTTGGCTCTTGAAGATTCGGATTTTAACTTGCAAAATCCGAGCAGGAAATCACTCTATGGTAGAAATCGGTAAATCCTGAGAAATCATTTTGTTTTTGTTTTATCTTAATCTAAGTTATTTATGTCGCTTCCACTTGTAAGTTTCCATTTTACCCACAGCTCAAGTTTGAAGATTTTCCGACATAACAATGATTTTTCCGAAAATCTGTCAAATTTTGAAAGCAAAAGGGGGCACGGCCCCCTGCCCCTGGCCACGACACCCGCCTATATTTTCACATTTTTCTTATAGAAAGCTGCAAAATAAATCAAGCAATCATATTACACGGGAACAATGGCAAGTAAAGTCAAAGCTGCTTCGGTGTTGGATATTCCCCGCGCACACCTGATTTACACGCGAGACAACGGTAAAAGACAAAAAACATTTGTACCACCAATAAAAGGTCAGTCGGACGAAGAAGCAAACGTAGTCGTTGAGAAATACGTAAGAGACGCTCGCAATGTAAACCCAGCCCCGACCATTGCAGAACATGGGTTCCAGCTTATTGAACACAATACATCCTTTTCAAAGAAAGAGTTCTACGAAGATCCCAATAACAAGATTGAAAAAGTATATTATAAAGAAGTAGCCGAGGCTGTTAAGAAAGTGTGTCCAGGTGCAGTTGAAGTAATACCCTTTCATCACATGGTGAGAAAGCTGATATCCTTCTTCTTTTGATGTTTTGTTCTACTGTTTTATCCTTTTGATGTTTTTATTTCTATGATGTTTTATTAAAACTCTGGGGCCAAAACATGGAATGAGATTCCAAGAAACGTCAGAATGAGCCCCACAATTTCCATTTTTAAAAGAAACTTGAAGAGATTCCTACAAAATTAATAAATTCCCAAAACAAAACACGATCCCTAGGAAGAACAGCAACATCTTTATTTTATATATATTAAAGAAGCAATTGTAATAGAAGTAGTTTATTTATATTTGTATTATAGCTGGTAGGAAATTCGTGTATAAAGATTTTAAAATGAAATGAAAAAATGAAATGAAAAAATGAAATGACCCTCGCAACATTTTGAATCGAATGAAGGACTTAGAAGCCCCTAAGAAGTTACTGACTTACTATGATATTGAATTTAGGAAATATTGCATTAGCTACCGTTTGAATCATTGTAAGAAAGATGTTAAATGATAAAAAATGATCAAGTACCAGAGACTATACCCAAAACTATAGAAAGATACTCATTCATTAAGAACGAACCAAGGCTCAACTGAAATACTCCTTATTCTCAAATACGGTTTTCCACAGAATGTCCCGGCGAATTTCGGTTACCAACTAAATTCCCATTGGTTTGATCATACGTAACTAAGGTATTGTTGCTTTTTCCAATCAGAAACGCGGAACTAATTTGCTGCAGAATAGATTGATAACGTCACAACGGTTTAGTGACGGGACATATTGTTTTTTCTCATAAGGGTGACAAAAGGCATATCCAAATTTGAACAAATTCAGAACAATATCACAGTTTGTATTGTATTTATTCTCCATATTTCCATATCATTATCAATGTTCTGAAAATAGAATCAACCAATTATGTTATGCTGTCAATTTTCAGTTGCGAAAAGCCCCACAGTCTGCTGCAAAGGCTGCCAAACCAAAGGATGGAAGGCCTGTTGTACGGAGACAATTCTCTAATGTAGAACACGCTCACAGGGCAGTAGGCCAACCTGCTGGCGTTGTGCATTGCGATTACACCGTCCGCAATGCTATTTCTTTATTTGACAGCATGGCTAAGGCTGATTATCGAAAGGGCAGATATGCTGTTATAAATGCATGGCGAAACATATCTGATAAATCGCCAATAGAAGATGACCACTTAGCGATGTGTGATGCCCGAACAGTCATAGCTCCTGACGATTTTGTTCCTTGTGATGTTGTGAAAGGTGACCAGGTAAGTGAGACATATCGCTTGGATCCAGGACAAAACAGCTTCCACCAATGGTATTATTACCCAAACATGTTGAAAAAAGAAATGCTCATCTTTATGCAGTATGACAGCAATTCAAGAACAAAAACCAGGTATACTTTTCATACGTCACTACGAAGCCCATATGCACAACCTGATGCGCAGCCGCGTGAATCCATAGAATGCCGGTGTATTGCTTTTTTCCCACAACACCAGCCTAACACTATTCCAGAAATATTGTATAAGGAAAATGAGATTGTGAGTGTAGCGATATTCAAGATCTTACAGGCTTTGCTTTTTGCTGCAAAATGGCCAAAAGATGCACAAAAGTGGATGAGCACTGAGCTGTACAAGCCTGGTGGTGTTGAACGTATCGTAAAAGAACTGGTCAATGGCGGTGCAACGCGTAAGGAGCATGGCTTGGACAAGGCCTCTCAAATACAACGTGATGAAATAATAGAGAAGCTTTTATCTGGAGGAACTTTTGAGGAAACTGCAAAATCATATTTTCCTCCTATTTAGGTATTTAATTTCTGTTTGGTAATTAAGTGATTTTACTAAAAAAGAGCTTCTTTTTTGCTTTTCATCTTTTGAATAAATCAGTTGTTCCACACGATGCATCATGGATTACACACAAAAGTTATAATTAAAGAATAAGAACAAGAGTATCATGAAAAAATGGAAGTGTTTGAAAGACTTAGGAAAAGATTTGGACTTGCAAAGAACTCAGTAATGGTTTTTATGCATTAAGGTATATGGAAAATAAAATTAAGCGACAGTGTTTGACTAACCTCTTTTTCATCTTAATAGCTAATGAGCTGGTGCATTCCTTCAAAGTTTTGCTTAAAAGGGGTGTGTGAGGAAGTGTCCAACAAAACAAAATACAAGTTGGGGGAAAGTTTGATTTCATTGCATAAAATGAATCTTAACAGCTAAGTTACAAGGGCGATATCCAGGGGTGTAGAGCTAGGGGGGCTCAAGGGGGCTGAGCCCCCCTTGTTGAATGCCGAAAATTGGCAAATCTCTTCTTTTGCTATTGTTTTTCGCGACATTTTGGGCAAGAGCCCTCCTTGTTATTTTGATAGCACTACACCACTGGCGATATCTATGTCACTATGCCACTGCCCAGGTCTTCTCGTTTCACGCGGGCAATCCCCCTCACCATCGCCATCGCCAAATTATTGACGCAGGCCATTTACCGCTCTCGCAAAAACATGCAACAAATTTTTAAAACAAGAGTGCTATCTAAGTGTTGGCCATCAAGGGGGGGGGGGTAGAAATCCGTCGCTCTGGTCATTTTTAGTCAAAATTCCGTGCCTTAAAATTGTTGATGGGACCTTTATTCAAAGATGGTATTATAAGAAAACAGATGAAAAATTCCACAAATCCTAAAACTGATTAAAAATTCCGTATACGGTGCATCATTTTCGAGAAATTCCGCGTCCACCAAATGTGTAGAGTTCCGTCGTTCCGTCCAGAAATTGCCAGATTTCCGTGATCCGGACCAAATTTTCAGTAAACCTTGATGACCCCACATCGTACGTCGGTTACTCATAAGCACGAACAACAAATATTGATAATAAGCGACAATGATAAAACTGGACAGTATGGGGAAAGAAATGCTATAATGAAAAGAGATGTTGATATTTATTTGGAGGAAAAACACATAAAACTGTTACAGAGGAGCTTCCAAGCTAGAGACTTTGTCTTGAAGCTCCAAAAGAATCTGAAAACATAGATAATGCAATCAAGGAGGAAGAGAGAGAGAATTTTCAACCGAGTCAGAATCTGATTGTGATTCATACACTGAAGAAGAACTTTAAAAAATGTAACTTCTACATGATGGTTTTGGTTGATTTCAAGTTTTTATCTTATGTTTTTACTTAGCTGGTCGACTTAGTTTATTTTCTTTTCATCCTTCCCTAAAGTCATGGTATTCCTGAATGAAAGGTCAAGTTGTTAATGAAGAGAAAACATCATTTCCTCATTGTTGACATTATAAATCATTACACCAAATATTTTGGCTACAACCTGCTGTCGTGCAGTTAGAAAATCAAAGGGAAGGCAGTCTTGGTTAGATAATACCCTAATCCCCCCTCAAGTCTTTATTTTAGGACTCTGTTTAACCGACAGTGTTGGATGGGCGATCGCTATTGTAAGCTTATCCAGGCAGGCAGTTTGTTGCCCTTGCAAAAATTTCTTCAGGAAAAGACCTGTCACTGCCATTTGCAAAGATGCTATAAAGTGAAAGTCATTATAAAAGTCCACAAGTTATTATAAAATATCTCTTTATCATTATAAAAGCTCAATACAGACACTAACTCTTTTTTGGATTCAGACTCAAGTTAAGAAGTAGGTGGCCAGGGAGCAAATTAAAGACCTATAACCTCAGATTTTACAAAAAATGTCTATTGTTTGCATGGCACCCTAGTTCCGTCTTTGGAAGCCCTGGTGATTGAAGATGGGGGATGTAAATGACAAGATCAAGACTTTAATTGAACCCACTGTCCATATTCATTCATAACATACTTCAATGGCTCTTCCTTTGGAAAAACCTTCCTTGGATCTGGATTATCTGTTAGGAATTTCATGGCTGCTTTAGTTGTCTCTACAAAATCCTCAGGCTCACAATGTGGGGATGTTGAGCAATACTTTAAAACATCAACAGCAGGAAGTTGTGGAATGATATATGCAGCTTCAAAAACATGGTATTTAAATGGTCCAATTTCCAGGGTTGGTTCAATTCCCTTGTAAATGCTAAACATTTTTTCTGAACCACCAAAAATCCTTGCATTTCTAAGAACATTAGAAGGGCCTTTGTCACTAAATGTTGCAGGGAAAATCTTTCTTGAATTCAGATCATACACTACACCACAAACCATTGGTACAGTCTTTCCGTTTAAAATGTTTGTGTTTTGAGTATACGTACACAAAGTCAGAAGTTGAGCATTGAAAGGACATTTCAATAAAACGGCCAATACACTCTCAAGCAGTTTTACAGAAATATTGCGATCATCATCAAATCCACCAATTATATGGACCTTTATTGGTATATCATATTCATTACTTGAAACCTTATCATGAAGTTTAACATGCTGTTTTAACATCCCTTCCAAACCTGATTCAGTATCGCACCCATCAAAATGGCCTACACTTGCAGCAACGTCAGATTCACATACAATGATGTGGCATGTTGTAGCATCTGTAGATCCAATAAATTTTATATTTTCGTCATTCAATTTCACAGAACCAAACTCTCTTTGGTGTATGTATAACACCTTGTCAGTGGTTGACAAGTGTCTTGGTGGCTGTGAAGCAAAGTTCTTTGATTTCTCGACAAGCAATGGAAAAGAAAGCAGGTCTTTTACAGTACAAGAGTTTGAATCCAACCTTTCTGTGTCTATAAAAAGTGGCATCTTGAATATTGACAAAAAGCAACCCGTCTTAGCAAGAACAATTTTGAGGCCTCTTTTTCATTAGGAGGACAGCAGAATTCTGAGAAAAAAATTGTATAGCCGTTGTTGTTGTTGCTGTTGTTGTTGTTAATAAAGTACCTGGAACATTTATTACACAATGCTTTCATGGCTATGGTCACTGAGGCCTAATTTAAGCCTTTCTGAGCTTCCTACGAAAGCTTCAAGCTCGATTTTCAGTGCTTTTGGATGGACAGTGACAACTTTTTTGGTGTTTACTACAGCATTTGCAGTTTACGCCGCGTTTTATGTGTTTTTTGTTCCAGCACCATTGCATATCAAGCAGGTCCATTTTCAGTTCAAGTAAGTTGATTTAAAAATTATTTTGCTACAACTGCACTTTAGCTACCCACTTTTTTGTTTCCTGGTCAGAAGCTGAATTGAATTACAAACCTTTCAATCTAGCCTGGTTTCTGAAACAATCGAAAGTTCGAAGTTCAGCCAGTTCTCGTACAATTACAGCTGGACATCAGTTTCAAAATCAATTTTAATGACTTCATTCTTTGAATTGTTTTGCTTGTTTTGCTACTGCCCCCAAATCCCCGCTTATTCATCATCATTTGAATCATTTTATTCCATATCCAGTAATGTCTTCGTTTCTGCAAATCTTCATTCACACTGTTGCTCGCGTCATCGTTGCTATAGCGATTCAATTCAGCTTCAAACCAGGAAACAATAAAGGGGGGTCGCTAAACGGCAGTCTATTCATTATTTTGGCTTGTTCTATCATCCATATCAATAACGTTAAAAAGGAGTGTTTTCTCCGTTGCAATTTATTTTGCAAGAAAGATCTTTTTGGTTAGTGACTGCCTGCCTTTTGAAATAAAAATAAAGACCTGGAGTGCACGTTTTATCTAATGAAGCCATTTTGATAATTTTTTAACTAAGACTATTGTGATTGACGCATCTGGTATTTGCTATTTTTGAATGAGGTATTATCCTTTTTGTGTACACAGAGGAAAATGAATTTATCTAGCTTCATGAAAACAGTGACCTAAAAGTGGCTTTGGCCCTGAGAAGTAACAGATTCATTCGGTTGCTTTGGTAGTGTTTTCAAAGAATCACTGAGTTGGACACATCATTGACTTTTATTCATTTTGAAGTTTCCTGCATATCTTTTTAGTTAATGTCTACCACAGTGCCCTATTGTACATTTCAAAGAGCCTTAATGGTACTCAGGAATACATTTATTGGGAAATTTTTGAAAGAGCCTGATTAGGAAAATCATGCTTTTTGTTAACATTACTCTAGGCAGCCCAAAATAACACAACATAACACAACATAACAAAACACAACATAACACAACATAACACAACATAACACAACATAACACAACATAACATAACATGACAAATGCTGTAATGTAGACCAGAAGCCTGTTACAGATCACCACAATTTTTATTATTGTTGTCTTATTTTTGTCTTGTTTTTCGGCAGTTGCCTGTTTAGGATATCCATCTCAGAGAACCACAGAACTGATATACATATCTCGTTTTTTTTCAAAAAGCATGGTTTTTATTAAAGAGTGAGAAATGTTCCTATAAAACCGTATCAGATTTAAAACCATATCAGATTTAAATAAGGTAAAAATACTTTAAGAATATATTCAGACTCAAAAAGAAAAATTTCTTAAGAATACTGCAACTAAAACGTTTTATAGTATTCATATCAAAGACAAAGATTGTATAGTAATATCAAGAATGCAATGCCTTAAATGAATTTCTAATGTATCAAATTAATGCTTTAACAGGACACATGGTTTCTATGGGGATGAGGAACAGTCTCACAAATATCATAATTATAAGGAGTTTCCAACAGCAACAGTTAATCTAAAGAATGGTGACTCTGACCAAAAGTCTGATGGTGACATGGTTTGTTTTTGCTTGTAATTCTTGCTACTGCTTAATGATAGCACTTATGATTGTATTACACTATATGAGATATGGTATTATTTTGATATCAATTTAGTGCCTTAATCCTTCCCCTAATTTGTTTTCCTTGTTTATTTTAATAAAGTTAAACAAATGACCCTCTATTGCATGCTTAAAGTATTTAAAGGGGACAGGACATATCAGAACATAAGATATTCATACAATTCAAAGTATTCAAGAAGACAAATTAGTTCAATCAAACTTATTCTTTCCAAAAGAGCAGATAATCTATTTGCCTACCATCGTTTTATCTGATTTCAGGTTCTAGCACGTGGTCAAAGATATAAAGTTTTTTTAGTTTTACATGTCCCATATTCAGAAGAAAACAAGAATGTTGGTAAGTGAGAATCATTTCATGTTACAGCATTATATATTCACCATTTGTTTTCAAACCTGTGATTTCCATGTTAATTCTTATTCCTTTTTCTCATAGGGATGTTCATGACAAGCATCTCTATTAAGTCTAAAAATAATCATGAAGTAGGAAGTGCCTCAAGATCAGTGAGTCTAATAGATACAACTCTTTAACTGCTGTGGTAAAAGTGTTTACTGTAATTCCCCTTTTGAAAAGTCAAGTTTTCAGTAATAAAGATTTTTCTTTGTTGCTAGATAACTGTTTTAGAAGATTTGTCTTAACTTGCCCCATAAAGTAAATTAATGTTTTCTTACAATGTAATATTATATTTTGGTCGGAAATTGTACACTTTCCATAAAAGATACCATTTTTTCTGGGGAGATTTAATTAAGGATTGTCTTAATGCATACCCATTTGTTGTTCCGCTAATTTTCTTTCATTATTTTTTCAAAATTATTGACTTCATTGAATTATTGATTGATGAATTTTTTCAAGCATTGATTAGCTAGAAGTATTTTGCAATGTATTATACTATACAAAGAGCACTACTAAAAATGAGCAGCTTTTTTGAAAAACCTTTTTCAATCCTGTGGATTCTTTTTTGCATGTGAGGATTCAGCTGCCGCCTTTGAATTTCAGTAATGGAAAATTATCTTGAGTCATGAATTTAGAGAACACACACTTTTGACCTGTTGGAATTTTAATTAACTTTTAGAGTGCAAATTTTAAAACGTAATTTTTCAAGATTGGATAATTTTGGTTTTTTGGCACTCTTTGTGAATATGCAGTTAGTCTTTATGACCCTGAGCATACAGTATTGGCTTCTAGCTTGTATGAAAACTATTAACTCTAATTTAAGTGATTTGTCATTTTTCCCTAGGCTTTGATACCCTTTTCCTCTCCAGTGGTTTCAACGCTTAGTGCCCTTATGGATTTCTTTCTGTTGCACTGGCGATGGAAGCAAGAAAGTGAAAGGCTAAGCATAATGCTTTTTGAAAATTTTGTAGATGACTCAGTGAGTTAAACTCCAATTTTTAAAAACTTGGTCTTTTAGATGATTTATTATTTAGTGCTTTTGCATCATACTTTGAGTTTCTGAATTGCCTGGAGGCATTTTTAATGAAACTGAATTTCCATTGCAACTCTTACTTTTCATGTCTGGATATCATGGAACAAAGTAGTTAACCCTCTTCATTATGAAATTCGGTTAAGGTTTATTTTTCTTTCAGTATCATCCATCTGAAAGTGCTGTGATCACATTGCATTGTAAATCTCTCCAAGTTTACTCTGCAGAACTCAGAATTGAGGCAGTTTTCTCTGGCATAAGGTGAGAGCTTTTAGATTTCAAGATGTAGTCTGCCCTTACTATTTTAGTTTCTATCAGACTCTATAAACAGTCTCAAAGCATATTCTTATGCTGTATGTAAATTTTTGATAGATTTAGTCACAAGTGCATAACACTTCAAATGTTAACTATTTTCAAAAAAATTATGTGATCTGGTATTTTCTGGTATAACTGTGCCATACTTTGGCATGCTTCTTATGGGACAGGGTATTCTTTTGGCAAATTTTTATGGAGCATGATCAGGGTGCAAATAGGTTTTCTGCACACCTGTGTTACTTACCTACCTAGTCAAGTACAGCCCCCCCCCCCCCTGAGCTCAATTGATAAACAACTTCCAGAGAGTAAGCTTGATAACAAAGAGGTACATACATTGCTTGCCTCTGATACATTTTTGAGACTGATTTGAGATAATTGTGATTTTTTCTCTTCAGGTACTACATGTTCTATTGGCCTTTGACTGCAGCGACATTGGGTATCTCATCAAATGTGGTTGTGGGCTTTCTGCTTACAGTGTGGCTTTATTTCAAGTTCTGCAATGAGCCGAGTGCACAAGATGATGAATCGGAAGAATCTTTTGTAATTGATGATATAATGGGTACTGGATTTAACACTGAAACTGAATCCACTGCTGCTACAGTTGCTACTGCTCAACAAGCCAACGATGAGTGTGTGGAACAAGGTTTGTGATGAATCAAGCGCTTTACATCGCTCATTGCTATTATTTTTTATGATGAATTCTATTTAAAATGAATTGTTGACAAATTATTTCCCTCAATGGACAAGCATCTATTGTGAGTGCTAGAAAAACTTCCCTGTTGAACTTTGTTTCACTATCATGTGATTAACAATTATCTTATTTTATTTATTGTTTTCCATTATGGTTCTCTGAAATTAAGTTTTTTCGAGTGATATTTTTTTCTATTAAGTCTTATCTTTCTTTCAGAGCCTTGCGTCAACGCAGATTATAGTTTAACAGGGGCGGCCGTAGTTGACCCACCCTCTGGTGCTCGCAGATTTGTCCCAGCCCGCCGAATGGTTCACACAATGGTAAGCATTCGTGCGCAAAATCAGAGAAGGGTTCCTCCTGTTTCCTTGACGCGGCGTTTGCAATCAGCTAAAGAATTGAAAGATGGATTTTGCCAGACTGAGCCTGTTGAAGGTTACATGTTAGGGAAGGCTGCTACAAGCACGAAGGCTGTAAAGGCTGACTGATGGTGGCGATTTAAATCATGCAGATTGCTGCTGTGGTCTATCATCCGTGGGTTCTATGAAAACTTATCATTAACAACATTGTTGCGTTCATTCTAAGGCTAGTACCTTCTACAATTGGATCTGACAGACAATCAAGACAGCAGCACTCCTGAGCTCTTCTGCTTCCGTGCTCTTGCATCACGTTTCATTCTATAAAGCTTGTGTACACAAGAGGTTTCAAATGGTCGAGCATGATGAAACTTTACTTTTTACAGCCCACATCACGATGTTTTGGATCTACATCATCGACTTTCTCATTTTCTGAAGCCAGAAGCTATTGTTTTATTCTCGTCGCCGTATCTATACCTTGAAATGGGAACGAAAGCTAATCATGTTTTCGCCTCGACAATGGGTTGAGGAATATTTAATTTTTGACCTGTAACTCCAACCCCCCTCTCCCCCACCAATAGTTGATTATGACCACGTTTGTTGATTTTTCGAACTGCTTATCAATAGTTTGCAATAAAAGTCTTAAGCCTGCAATACACTGTTGGAATCACTATCGGAAAATCATCTATTATTGTCAATTAAACGACATTTTCCAGCCCTTGTACCATCGACATAAAGAAATAAATTTGAAGACACCAGATGCTATATAATGATATCCTCTTTTTAGAGATATCATATTGCCACATTAAATTATTATTGTGTCCAAAATGCTGATAAAATATTATTTTCCAATGATTTTCGTCGTATATTTTGATCATATCCCTCGTATGTTCCCTACGCTGCTAGCTGCTTCCTTTCTCATAGTGCAGCATCCCATACACAGGATTTAATCAAAAAGGCTGTCTGCTCACTCAAAAGGGCAACTTTTTCACGCCCGATGTAAATCATGGAGGAAAGAATAACACATGCGAGTGCGATTTAATATTTGATAATCAAACGGGAGCAGCTTATTCATAATTTTCAGCAAAAACTCTCTTATACATTTGCTCTTGCAGTGGCTGAAAATGACATTTGGCACGCTGTCCTTTACACATCGAAAATATTATCATTACTTAAGGGCAAAATGAACATTCCTAAATGAAATTTTGAAGTGCTAATACCCAATTGGAAAGTTTTCATCAGGATCTTTGTTCATGTCCTACAGCAACCTGGGTTTTGAGGCAATTATTTTTAATTGAAATCAAGCGTATATATGATCTATGAAGGACAAACGAAGTTGATGTTTTGGATATGCTGAGAATTTTAGGTAGTTGCTCGTGTCATCAGTTTTCATAGGCACATCATGGTCGGAAGATCGTTGATTTGTATAAAGTGGAACACAAATCCTAAACAACAGCCTGGGATACCTAAAACTTTCAGATAGAGTAAGTCAAGGTAGAATGTAACATAATCAGCAGTATCGAATGAAGGAGAATCAGGGATAAAAACTTTATGTTTCGAGTATTGCGAAACCAGGCATATAATCAGCAATTGTCGAAATTTAGAAAGCAATTGTCACCATTGTCACCATTGTTGTAAACTGAACTTTTCACAATTTTAAGGGTTTGTTTGGAAAGCTCTCTAACCTTATAGCGTCGGACGACTGTGCTATAGACAAATACCCAATTTACCGACGATTGTATTCCAAAAATTTTGATTCCACATTTCTGCCAATGAAAAAAGAACAAAACTGACAACAGAGAAATATAAAATAAAATTGCCAGGGCCCACGCCACGAATTTCAAGGTGGAGGGGCCAGGTGCTATAAATCGAACTTGAACTTAGTGCTTCAAAACAAGGCTTCTTTGTTAATACTTTTGCTTACCAAAAAAGTGGGGGGCATGGCCCTTCCCCCCACCCCCCGATGGCGTAGACCCTGATTGTACGATCTAGTATTGTTAGGGAACTGCCGGGTTACCATCCCAGGACAATTTTTTATGCCCAGAATCTTGTTGAATGTTTTTTGTAACCTGTTCCCCAAGTACAACTTTTATTTTTCATTCAATTGCCTTTCAAATAATATAATATCGCAATTTTTGAAATTGGAGAAGCTGAGAGCAAAGTTTTGCGTAAGGACCACGGATCATATTGCATATTGAGGAGGCTAAAACCGAAGTCTTTCAATAGAAAGACTTTGCTAAAACATTTACACATGTTCACATACACATGTTCAAAATCAAGAGCAGGGCGATTCTCGTATGGCTTTAAGTAGCTTAATTTTGGAAATAACACGCGCTAGTCAGAATCTACTGAGCTTGAGCTCCCTTAGGCAGCCCTACCCGTTCGATCATTCCTGAACGGTCCCCTGAACCGTTGTCCATCCCAACCCATTCTCTGCAGTCCATTACAGAATAGTGCTGACTCATTCCTCATTCCAGCAGCCTCGTCTGCATCGATTGTGTCAGGCTTCTTCTCCTGTACCAGCGCAAGTGAAAGTGGAAGGAAATTCAAGATGTCGGACAGCGTGAAAGATTGCTTTTCCTTGGCGTCTCTCGAGACTGGCCTCAAGGTTGTGTCCCTTGTTTCAACGGGTTTCTTTGCCGGTGGATCGACCTTCATCGCTTATGCATTTAAACCAGGCGTGATGAGCATAAGCAACCACTGTGCCCTTGTTTCCTACCGTGCCGTTTTACCACGATGCAAACCATTACCACTTTCTATTATTGTTGGCAGCCTTGCATCAGCTGGTGCCTATGCGATATCAGTACATAATGACAAGCCCGACACTGCCTGGCTAGTTGGTTCAGGAATACTTGCTTTGATTGTTCCGCAAACTATTATTTTCATTGGACCTATTAACAAACGCATCTTGAAAGAAGAGGTTCGTGAAACCATCAACAATTTCTTTGCCTCTCTTTAGTAAAATTTGAAACCTATTTATGATATTATGATGTCAGATGTATTTATTCAATCTTAGATTAATGCTGTATTATAAATATTTTGCGTAGTTTTATTTTAAGAAATCCCAGAACCGCATTTCTTCAATTAAATTTCCTAGAACAGAAAAGAAGTAAGGATTGTACTTTGATTGATGTAGTTCCTTAAAAAGTTTTTTGCATACAAAAATGTAGAATTTTATTCTATTTTATTCTATATTCAATTTATAGTAGAATTTTGCATACTTCACCCTATTTTATTACTAAAAATTGTTTTTTATGTTTAAGGTTCCAGAAGATGATGCCCCGGAAGAGCTTGGAAACTGGCAATTCCACCATGTTCTTCGTACTGCTGCTGTTTTTGGACTGTTTGCATTTTATTCTTACAAACTCATCAAGAAATAAATTTTTTTATTATTTACATAATCAAATGAAAATAATATAAAAAATTTTCTATTTTGATTATAGCATTTTCCACTACGCACAAATATTATTAATTCTATTTAGTTTTTAGCTTGCAATGGGAAAATAAATTGATGAGAATTATGGTTCTTGTTTAATTTCTATTGCAAAAACTGTGAGATGTTTAATCACCACGTAAAGAAGTTGAAGTCATGGATGAGGTTCTTTAAATTTTCTAAGCTCATATAACTTTTTTCTTTGCCCTTGTCAGATTTCTTTGCATATTGAAAATTTTGTTTAGAAACCACTGAATATAAAAACAAGCAAGTCAAGCGTGTGTACAGAAAGCTAAGTAATGTTGTACAAACTCTTTATAGGTTTGTCAACATATTGGGTGTATTTTGTTTCAAATAACCACTTTGGCTTGTAACTATTTTCTGTAGGTTAAGCAATTATTCATGTCAACAAAAAATCCTCTTTTGAGTATGTGGATAAGGTTCGTTTTTTATTTAGTTCTTTAGTACATATCTAAATTTGAAATAAAAGGAACAATCACATCTCAAACTTTGCCAAAAATCTCAAAAACACAACCAACAAAATTACAACCTTGATTGTTTCCATGCAAATTGTGAATTAACGTGCTTTGCAATCAGACAACAATGAGTGTCTTGATATGTTGTAAGATGTTATTGTGTGTATCAATGAATGAAACTTGAATTAAAAATTAACAAAATTCTAAATAAAATTTACCACAGCTTTGCTAATGTGGTTAATAAAGAGAACAAATAGGGGTATCACATGCATTTTATTTATAAAAATATGGCATCCAATGGTGAGTTGTTTTTGTCTGGTTTTTGGTCTTTGTGTTGGTTTCACCCCTACTTTGATGAAATATGGAATGTTCGCAATATCCTATAAAATCGAAATCAAAAGATAGCCTGATTTCTCTTTGCCCCCTACTTTCCAAACCGTGTCGGAACCCATGTTTTTTGCAAAATATTTTGTTTCGAGTCTTTAATTGCCTTTTTCCAACTTCCTTGAAAGTCCCGGAAATAGCGTTGCGTAATTTCACACTCGGGGCCGCTGAGGAGAATGGAATGAGTCAGCTTTTTTTTTGTTCCGGGTGAAAGATCCAAACATGGCGCTTAGCAAAGACGATCTAGCTGTTGGCTTGAAAGTATTAACGACAGTCACCACTGGCTGCTACACAGGTAACGCTAGAATATCACACTTTAAAGAAAAAATATGGAATATTTAGCATCAATGTTATTATCAACTTATTGTGTTCTCGACACAACTATTTTGTTTGAAATATTGGCAGCGTGTCTGACGGCCTAGCAGAGCATTTTGGACAATTTTAGTTATGACTACAACATCACTTTCATGCAGTTTTTCTGCAACATATTTCTACTGTCGTTGCTCTATCTTGTATATTAGTTTTAGCTTATCTTGTATATTGACTTTCGAAAATAATGTAAATGCATCTTTGTTGAACCACTCTTCTTCTCCAGGTGATATTCGCGCATATGAATTTAGGCCTAATGCCTGATATTCGGGCATATGTTGGTTAGCTAGATTAGACCCTAAAGCACTTTGCAATGCTCGCTGAAGAAATTAGTTTCACTTAACACAAATTACTATATTTTGATTCCGCTATCCAGGTGGGGCATGGTTCTTGCTGTTTGGAGCAGTGCCTACAGCTAGAAGTCTAAAACCAAGCTGTTGCCTGAAAGTGACAAAGTCGGTATTTGAAAGATGTGCACCAATGGCTGTATTATCTCTTGGTCCAATGTTAGGTGGTGCTGGTGTGTATCTTTTGTCACGTGGTGGGAACCAAGAAGATAACTGTGGGTGGATTTTGACTGCATGTGTTTTTGGCGCGATGCACCCTTACACTTTGAAGTTTCTGATGCCTATAAACAATCGTGTCCTAAATAAGGAATTACCAGAAGATGAAGCACATTCAACCATGGATAGATGGTGGAATTTTCATTTATGGCGTACAATTGCTGCCAGTGGATGCTTTGTCTGTCTTTCTTATTTGATAGCAAAGCAATAGAAACTGCTTTTTCATGAACATACATTCATTGTTGTTTTTTCATCACTGCATGCACAAAAGATTATTTGCATAAATTTCAAAATAAGGATTTAAAATTTTGTTTTTGTCAGTGCACATTCTTCTTGTGATGAAAACCTAATAACTGAATTTACTTGCGATGCCAGATGGCAGTCTGAGCCTGACCAACAGTTTTCAGTTATATGTTTCTCACTATTAAAAAATGAGTCAGGAAAGAGAAATACTGTTCTACGCATACCTCTTCATCATCTCAGTTATTTGCTATCCTGTGGTGGATTGCTTTCCTCTATGGAGCATTTTTCACCTTTGATCATGATTATGGCCAAAGTCAAGCTATCAGAAATTTTCTTGACCAATGTCATAATTTTCATTCAATGGAGCTAGATGATTTGACAGAAGTTTCATGTGAGCACAATGTTTGTAACGTTTTTGTCGAGCTATTGACAAACAATAAGTAATCACTTTGCCTGGCTTGAAAACAATCTAGCATCCTACTTGGTTGGCTAAGGATACAATCATTTATGTGGGCAGAATAACACAAAGCCAAGAATAAAAGTTTGGTCAGGCTCATTTGGAATGGCTTTTTTCAGGCCAAACCTTCCAATTTTGGCCTTTTCAGAGTTAACTGTAGTTCTGTTATCATGTTCTTCATTTTTGCTGTTAAAGCAAAACAATTTTTGACTTTCAATGGACTGTTGTGATGATCCCCTATTGTTCCCCAGGTTTCCCCTACTTCCCTGTAGGTTTCCCCTACAAATTCCTTATTCCTTGACTGTATGGTTTCCCCTAGCAGCGACAGCCTTGAAATGTGTAATTACACTGCAATGTACTGAATTTGAACAATTCACAATTACAATTTTGTTGATTGGTAGAAAGTGAGGAAATATCAAATTAAATCCCAAGAATAACATGTTGTTGACTAACGAATCAATCGTAAACAAAAAGTGTATTTTTTGTACTGTATTTATTGACAGGGGCCCAGGTTTTGGAGACCCTGGGGCAAAACTGAAAAACAAGGTCCTCTGTGAGTGGAGCAAGCAGAAAATTTTCGTAATCGAGCCCTTGAGACTAGCCCTTTAGAACTTTTATTTCACTTGTTTCCTGGAATCATTTAAAATGTTTAACTATTTTTAGATATATATTTGTTACATCTGATTAATTCCATTCTTCAGACAATTCACTATTTTATGAGGCCCCCTAGACCTCGTGTCCTGGGGCAATTTGCAAAATGATTGAAATTTTTTGAAGCCAAATGATTAAATTGCTGTACTAACCAATAATTAAAACACAGTTATTCTGTAAATATTTCATGCTTTTTGTTGCCTTAGAAAAGATGAATATTTGAAACAGCATTGTTTGACCATCAGTTTATGCTGGTATGTTGCAAAAAGAACTAGATTTGTAGGAAAATTGTTCAAATCACATTCAAAAACGAAGAACTGCTTTGTTTTACTAATTACCTAGTAAGTACTAATTCCTCCACAGGGATGGTCGGTGACGCAAGCTAGCTGTTGTGTTCCTAAGGGCTGCAATTCAATGCCACTGTTATTTATTGTGCACTTGAATAACTTTAAAGTCAGTTCCTGCGTGTGAGAGTGTACAGCAGTTTTTAATTTTGCCAAGGAAAGAACTTTACCTTCAGCATTAAAAAAAATATAGAAATAAAGGATGCATTTCCAGTAGGTTTTTCTCAATAGTCAGAACTTACCAAATGGCTACATGGTAGAAAGCACAAGGGAAAAGATTTATATTTATATGTATTTATATATAAACCAATTCAATTACAATACAGACTTACAATAAAACTAATACTAAAAAATAACCATTTTACAATTCAGATTTGATGAATGACTACACTCAAGATAAAGAAAGTAGAAAATTGATGAAAAATTAGTGGAACTAAAATTTAAGATCGCAAGCACTGGACAAATATAACTAAATAATTTCCTCCCCTTCACCTCTGGTGCAGTCATTTACAATTAAAAATAAAAAGGAAGAAAGAAAATATTTGGGAAAAGGTTATTTTACTTGAAAAATAACAACCACACAGTAATAAAAAAAAGTTGATCAAAGACATTCCATTCTCTTTACAAACAAAATAAATTGGGAGTATGAATATATAAGAAATTGTAAGCAGAACGAAAAAGGTTAATTTACAAACAAGATTAAATGACTGAGAAAGTAAATGGATGGAGCTGAATACTCCAATAAGTCGATGTCAAGCAGTGTATAATGTATATTGATTGGTAAATCTCAGCTTCTAAAAGTTCATATATGGTATGGTAGCTTACACTGCAAGTTAGTCATCCTGTTAAAAAAACAAAAACTATTATATCATCCACTGTCAATGTTTTAAGTTCAACTAGCAATAGAACATGTTGACTTACTGATTGTATACTTTTAAAGATATGGTGATCATATTGTGATCATAGTTTCTCAATTTACCATTGAAAATTGACTGAAAAATATTATTGAAAAAAACTGAAAAGAATCTATTTTAAAAGAAAATAGACTGGAACTACCTCTGAGCATATAAACCTATGATGATTCTGGGACATGATTCATGAATGTTTTTCAAACTGATGTGCACCTGATGCTTAAGATGTGTGTGCTGCTTCAGTGATGAATTCCCTTTGAAAGGGACATCATAAAACATACCACATTAAAATGGTGATCATCATGAATCATCATCATGACTTTGAAAGTTAAAAAAATGTTTTCAAGTGTGTGGTATAAAACTAGTACATAAGGAAACTGTGAGAACCATCAAGAGAAATAAACAATTTGAACAAACTAAAAATGTTGGACCAACCCATTCCTCCTCTGCCACTCCATCACCTTCATCAGCCTGTTCTTTCTTGTTACAAACATCACTCTCTTTATCTTTTACACCTAGCACCTTATCAGTCCAAGAGCCACCCAGTGGTTTGTCTGTTGTGTAAGTGGTAAGATTCTTTGTTTCAAGGTCAAGACATGTCATTGACTCTGCAAAAAGCAAGTAAAATCGAGCATAGAGAGGCTTTTTAACAAATGGTAGATTGGTCCCTTTTTTAATACTATTGGCATTATCAATTATTTATTAAATATTACCAGTGGTGGCACCAGCTACTACAGGGTGGGAGGTTAATGGGTGTGGCCAGCCAAACCATGCCCTTTTTGCCTGGTTTCAGTGCTTTGTACTAGGCTAATTTTTCTTAGAAAATACTCCTACCTAGCGCTTTTTAATCAATAGCAAGAATGGACCATGTTCCCCCTTGGGGCTGCCACAGGATATCACAATAACATGGATAAACATGTGGTTATGAAACTGTAATCATAAATGATTATGATTACGGACAAAGTCAAGCACTCGGGGACTGAAATAATTTCCACTCAGTTCAGTCATATGACAAGCCAATGCCTTCACATGATCACTGTTAAGAAAACAATCTTCAGCTATACAATGAGCAAAACAATGTCACCTTGTATTTCTTTTCACACAAATTGTGAACCTGCATTGTTTATATTATGCAATAGATTTTTCTAACAAAGACTTGTTTACCTATGTTTTGTGGGTAGTTAGTTGAGTTATAACAGGGTGAATTTAAAATCACAATATGGAACTCGTTACAAAGTTCAGTTCAGTTCAGTTTTATTTTAAATTCCACTGGATACATACACTTGTTGCAAATTAGAAATAATCCAAGCTTAAAAGTATAAACAATGTAAAATGAAGTTAATTAATATAAACGTAACATAACAAATACAGAGTAGAGGAGAAACAAGCTAGTATTGTAAACAGGGAATTGTTTAAAGGAGGAAACTTTCTCAGTAGTTGATAAACTAATTTAAAATAAAACTGAACTGAACTGAACAAAAGGTCTTCTATTAGAATGATCTCAGGGCAACTCTTAACAATCACACAACTTGTGGCCTTTTGGTCAAACTGATTTCAAATGACCTGATCAATTGAAAATAAAATTAGAAATTAGAAAGTTTTAGGGTAATTATATTATATAATAATGGTGCTAAATTATGAGCAAAAGAAAAATTTAGCTGTAATGTGCAGGATTATTATTGAGAAAATAACAGTCACTTAGCATTATTTCTGCATCTTTAGACAAAACCATGTCAATAAACCATGCATAAAATCATGATAACCCTAGCTCAAGGCTAACATGAAAAACACAAATTGTAAATAAATGCATTGACTAAGAAGACAAAAATCACATAGATAAAAATTACCAAGGTAGCATTTCTCGCCAGTTGTATTTAGCCTAACATCCATTCTTTCACTGAATTCCATTCCACTGAAATCGTTTTCTAGTGCCCAGAGTGACACTGCATTAGGAAATTTAAATGAATTCTCCTTTTCTGCTGTCAGTTTATCAAGTTGTGCAGTTTTCAATCTGTCTTTAATATCCTTCAATTGCAAAACATCTTTTCCATCTTTTGAGACATTCTCTATGAAAAGAAAATGTTAAACTAATTATCATCTGTTATTTATTTTGTCATGAATGTTATGTGTAATCATTATCTTTTTAGTTCTTAGGTTTCAGTTAGTGTCCATAATCTACTATCTACACTGTCTACTTACTATCTAACAAACTTCTAGCATTTGATTTTTGGGGAGCTTCAGACAAATTTTACATATTCCATCATCTACCGTATAGATGTTAAGAATTATTTAGTACTGATTATTATGATGAGCATCATTATCCTGTTTAGGCATTAAGTTTTGCACATGGAGATAAACAATAAGTAATTAGCATGCTCCATTAACCTTTTTTATTTAGCTCTATTGTTACTAGTTTTGAGTTCTGTTCGTAATGAAAAGCATGAGCTTTGAGATGATTAATATCTCTTTGTACATCTGAAATTCTAACATTAGACACATTGGCAACAAGTCAAACACAAAATTCCAATTGTGATACAAAATAGGCCCATGCACTGTCATCAGGTATTTTGAGTTCATCCAAACAGAAAACAAGCTTTTAACATAGACACACAAAAAAATAACCTGTACACAAACTCGATGTGGGATCTATCAAACCCTTTACAGCACGTCCCTGGTAAAGGCACTGCTGGTGCTTAAAAATACTCACTATAAGAAGACATCAGGTAGCCAGTATTAACTTTTTGCTTTGCTCCAAAGTCTGGCTGAATTTCTTCTCCATTTTTGTCAAAACGTCTGATGCAACCTCTTTTTATATCAATGTGAAACACAATGTAATGGTGCTAGGAAAAAAAATGTTAAGCAAAACAGCCCAGTTTAAAAACCAAATCATTACTTTTCCACAGACCAGTTTAAAAAGTCATGTCATCATTTCTATCACAGGTACACAGTCAAAAATGGGATTGACAATTAAGCATGGTTACTGAGGAAATCAGATGACAGACCACTTTTCTAAACCCTTAGAACTGATCTTAGGAATTTGTGCTATTTAGGAGACTTACTCTGTCAGTTTTCAATTTAGTCATGTCAAGCTCAATAGTAGCTCAAGAGAATATTAGCTCAATATACCTACTTTTGTGTTTCCCTTATCAATAATTAGATGTCTTGACTTGCCAAGAATAGTTCCTTCTACAATGAGACCACTTTTGCTAGAACAAAACATCATTCAAAGATTACACATCCTAGGCTTGGAAATATGTGTCTTATATATCAAACACACATCAGATTAAATTTGATCAATGAGGCCTTGCTCTAAGTAAAAAGAAGGTGCTCTATAAAAAGAGCCCATTAGAAACTCTAGGTGCTCTGTTTCACACATCTAAAAAAAATGTCCTCAAGAGCATCCTTTGAGAGCTTTGCACGCATCCTTTGAGAGCTTTGGAAGAGAAGACTTCATATCAAGAGCTTTGGAGGAGTTTTAAATAAGAAATTCAATGGTAATTCCAAAAAGCACCATAATATGAAATAACAAAACATGCAACAAAAACTATGTTAATGTAAATATCGAAATATAATAAAACAAAGTCTCAAAATTGTTCAGATTTTTCCAGATATGTAAGTTGCCATCACTTGAGAGCTTTTGTCACTGTCAGTACCAATACTGTTATGTTCAGCTTCACATATTGCCTCATCAAAAGGCATGGCTTTAAGTCAAACATTTAACTTTGTTTCTTTTTTATGCTCTCCATTCTATAAGAAAGGCTAAAACATCTACTACTAATGGAAGCAAATGAAAACTGAAAAGCAATGCGATAATTTGGACTGAAATGTGATCGCTGATTTGTACAGGTGATTTTAAGTTATTAAGAAAAAACAGAAAATAATACTTCAACAGAATATTAACAACTGCTCGAATATCAAATAAATCTGCCAGAGAATACGCTTGATGGCCTGTGTCCTTGGTGGTTATTAGAGGGTTATTAGATTAAAAATAGCATCAAAAACCCAACATTGAATTTGCTGAATTTTTTCTCAAGGGGTAATCTTATGCTACTCATAATATTGCGGTCTGTTGAGAAGATGTCAAAAATTTATATTGCTCCATGGTAATATTGTTTTACATTATGAGGTGCTATATAAATCGCTCTCCAAGACTTTTTTTGGGTGGACTCTAGGCGTGCACGCTTGATCGAGTGCCTTTCCGGGCAAGGCCTGGATCAACATGTCATCTCTGTGGTCTTTTTTATTAAAAATGCATAGGAAGATACTGACCGAATTTTGAGTATAGCATTAACCTTATGAAGCTTTACATTGCCACAAAAATTTGGGACTTGTTTAATGTTTTGATCAGTAGGAGCAATTGTGGAAATTATGAGGGATTGGTGACCAATTGACTTCTTCATTCAATTGGACACAACTCCAAAATTTTAACCATCAAAGGGGGGAAAATTTTCATATGACAAAGAAGGGGAACAACCAGTAAGAAACTCAGAAAATTCACCCTTCTTGCCCTACCCATCAACCAGCTCAATATCAGCCACTAGATAGGAAATATATCTTTTTCAATAGATTTTAAAAAATTATTTATTAAGTGCTAAAGAATCAGTTTTCCCTCATAGCTTTAAAACATTATAGGTTATAATTGGTGTCTGCTTTTCAAATTTTAAAATATTACAACATTACAAATCCAAGGTTTTTAAACAGAGAAAGCAACTTATAGAAAGCAATAAATTAAGAAAGGAGGTTTTCCTAGCTAAAAAAAATTCTAGCAAGGACACTTTTAAGTTAGAACTTTCAATTTACATGAGTTAAAATAACATATAGACAATTTGTGATCAGAACAAATATGATAATTTACCTTGAGCTCAGTTTGAATATCTGTTCAGGTTGCCAGCCATTTGGATCATCCCAGGTAGTTACTTTGACTGGAATTGACTGAAGTGCTTTGTCATCATACAACATATGTGCACGACTCATGCTTGAAAATTTGGAAGTTGGAACACTGTGCCTGCAATCTGTAATTAATTTCTATTTTATATGTGATGTATAAATCTTGCAGGAAATTGTAAGTTTAGCATCAAATGCAAATGATTTTCTCATTTGGATCAAACTGAAAAGCTTGTGTTTGGGTGATTCCATTAGAAATCAATTTTATCATAATTTCTAAAAAAACATTGGCCTTCTTAATATGAAAACTAAATTTGATAGCTTAATCCAGCTAGGGAAGGTGCTAGCTTGTCAATTTGTCCTTTTTTTAATTTTACCTCTTTAGCTTATTATATTGGGTGAGAGTTTTTAGAACTTAAGTAATCTATAATTGATAATTTGTCGAAATATCTGCAGACAAAAATCTCACCCTAAAACAAACTTCTAAATGTATGACACATTATGTTGCTTTATATTTGTTTAACAAATCCGGAAAATAATGTATCTACACCAGGAAGGTACGCGTCATACATTTATTTTAATAAGTTAGCTAGCAAAAGCAAAATGAGGTCTCTTGACATCTTCCAACTTCCGTGTTGTTGGTTGTTGTTGATGCTGGCCAAAACATCATGATGACATCAGAATTTCCAGGCCAAAGTTCGTTCGTTTCAATGTTTTAGGTTTTAAATCATGATCCTTACCTGACACCGACTTGTTTAGTCCTTTGGAACTGCTGTTTCGGCCTCTCCCACTAGTCTATAAAAGTGAACTTACTTCCTTGGTAAAGTCGGCCATGATTCCATAAAATACGAGGCAAATCTCATCTCCTGGTCGAGGTCATATCCGCCAACAATTCCCCGCCAATCTTTCCACTTGTTTTCAACAAAAGTGACGACACTGAAACATGGCAGGGAGGGAGAATAACCATAAATCCTCGAATAGGCACCTCCTCGAACAAGCGTATCTGGAAAATTATAAACTAAGCGTCCTCTGGATTAAATGCCCACCAGCTGGACCTTAAAATAGGGGGGGTTATTCGACATTTTAGCCAAAACGAGTTTTCACGAGATGTAAAACTCATTTGTAGCAAATGTACTGTATGCTTGTGTCAATAACAATTGTAAAATACTTTGCTATTTACCATAGCTGAAATGAATCAAATAATGGGGGGAAATTTTGCAAAAAGGGCGTTCCCCGCATTTGCAAGTGTTTGAAGGGCGTGGTCCAAAAATAATTCTGGGGCTGCGCCCTAGACGCTGCTACAGCCCTGGGTACGCCACTGCTAGCAGTCATTTTTTTATTTTTTGTTGTTGATTCTAGTGTTGAAAGGCTTTTTAAACGCCAAATGAAAAAGAGCTACTTTTTATAAACACAGTAGCGTACAACGAGATAACAGGGAATAGAACACTGCCCCAGGCACCGCGGAGAAGGGGGGGGGGGTGAGAGGGCTATAATTTTGGTTATCTTTACATTACTGGGCTTCTAATAGTCGATTATTTATAAAAAATAATTTATTAGAGAACTGAAAATATAAAACATCACGCCCTTGAAAAGCAGTTGATATGCATTTATTATATCTATATAATTAACTTACAATTTTTTTCAATTAACTTGTAGTGTCTAGCCTATTTGTATTTACAAAACTGGGTCACTAATTAACAGTGTCAATAAAAAAGATGATGGGTACTAAAAAGATTAACACCTTTTCTATTGCACATGCAAAGAGTTTTCCAATTCAAATTTTATTGAATGAGGTTGTAGCGTGTATGGGTTTTTAGATAGCGTGGAAGGGCACGTTTTCAAGCCTTAAGGCCCAAGCTGTGAGAGTTAATTCTTTTAGGAACTCAAGATTGATCTTAATCATTCGACGCTGAAACACAATTAAATTACAAGAGTTACCGAATTATAGCGGTAGCGTAAAGACCACCTATTGATGTCATGATCTCAATAATGCAATCACAACATATATTTTAAGTAGAAAAAAAATTTCAGTGTGACAAAATTTCAGACAAATCTTTGTTGCGCAATATAAATTGACTGAACTTTTGAAAAAATGCGAAATATGAATTGACTGAAGCGACTAAAACAAAATGATCTCTGAATCTGTATTTCCGTTGTGAAATTAAACGAAACGAAGGGTTGCAATCTTTAAACATGGGTAGGTCTGCAAAGTTTGTTTATGCAGTTTCTCTTAAAAGCTAAAAGAAATATCAGTCCAAACATAAAACACTCATCGCTTTTATCGTCTATCAAAAAGTCACCTTAATTGATGTGATATGAGACGGGTTTAAAATGGCCGGAATCAATGACCCTATAGAACTTTAACTCGAGTCATGCGACTCTTTTGAAGATTGTAAGCAATTATAAGCACATATTCCTGTTAACAAGTCAAAAAATATGACAAAATAATTTTCCTCTTCCATGTGCTTTAAAAAAAATTGATCTCAGAAGGACTCTGCTCGAGAAGGTGGCTCGTTCAATGCAAGTATTCTTTATAAGAAACTAAGAATGTAAGCCAGTTAGGTATTGAATACCGAAGTGTGACGTCACCAAAACATCTATTTTTAGAATTTCTAAAATTTGGCTACATAGTCTGAAAGAACGGCATAAAATACCTCTCATTGTGCAAAATTAGTCAGATATGTTCCAATCTGGGTGAGATATGGCCAATGAAAGATTTCAAGTTTGCTAAAGCCTAGCGCACACTAGCGATTTTTGTCGCCAGCGACGGCGATTTTTGTCGCTGGCGACTAAAATCGCTAGTCTGCGGGGAAAAACATCACAGGCTTTTTGTCGCCAGCGACAGAAACAAATATCTAACATGCTAGATATTTGTTTTTGTCGCCAGCGACTAAAAACTGAAAATCGCAAGTGTGCGGGGCGCAAAAACAAATTCTTGTTGATCAGCCAATCATTAAGTGTTTTCAAGGCACGTGGAAAGTGTGTTGACAAGATGGAGGTCACAGGAACATGCTCGTTTTCTTGGACAACGCATTAAGCAGATTTGTTAGTCGATTTGTGGCGCGAGAAACTCTGCTTGTACGCCATATCCTCTCGACGATACGACGATAGGACGGCAAAAGCTGCAGCCGTGGCTGAGCTTGCTGATGCTCTTAGTGCCACGAGCGGGTACTACTGCTCTCAAT